GGGCACACGCAGGAAACTCATGCCTCTCCTTGAGCAGCTCCAAGCCTACAAGGTCACGGCCTACAACACTCGACAAACAGGGAAGAAAGCTTAGTGTTGGAGGGGTCATCACACCAATCCTTTGTGCAGCAGGAGTCCATGGACAAGAGAAGGTCTACTCCAGCCAGGTGGATGGACATCAAGTTTTGCAAGACCAACCTCCTCATTGAGCACAAGGAGTTGGATGGGAGGTTCCAATTCAAGTTCACACATCCATTGGCTGGCCCTCCAAGCTTCTCCTGCCCAACCCAGAGCTCACCACAGTAGTCAGGGGTGAGAACATTGACTTCAGACCCCCTTGTACACATTAGTTGGGCATGAGGAGATTTGCGAGAAGAGGAGCCTGAACTCGATCGAGCTGAGGATCGAGCTGAGGATCGAGCTGAGGATCGAGCCAGGAGAGTGCGGATTTGGGTGAGCCTGAGTGCTATTACTTTGAGGAGTATGAGGCTCCAAGGATGAACCCCTCTGTTGTGGCTGCCACAAGAGGATTGGACTTCTCCAAAAGTTCAACAAATGGCAAGGGAAAGCCATTGAAAGATGCAAAAGTCCATGGACAAGATGGTGAGCAAGATCAAAAGTTTGGAGAAGAAGGTTTCTGGTTCTTCAAGCAAGAAGAAGAAGTCCAAGGCCCCCACATTCCCTAGGAGTAGATCACTCCTCACCACTCCAAGGAGGCTCCCTGCCCAAGAGCCTCACAGAGCCTCTTCATTCGAGCCAAGGGAAGGAGAAGACAACTCGCAGAGAAGGAGGAAGAGCTCCAAGGCCAGACGCTCCAGCTCGACCACCGGACTCGATCGAGTCCAAACAGAGGAAACTCAACTCGATCGAGCTTGAGTCTTGAGGAGCCCAGTTCGAGAACCCTGGGTTTGAGTACGATCCCAGCCTACCAGGAGTTCTCCAGAGATGGAACCCCTATGGACAGTTCGAGCTAGCCAGCTCCACCAAGGCCAAGGGAGCCACACCACTTCGAGATGAAGAAGAGGAAGAAGAGGAGCCGCAAGCTCGATCGAGTGAGGAACCCGTTGCAGTGGAGCTCCTGATGGCCGTCTCCATCTCCAGACCACGACCTTGCCTCCCAGTTCTTTGGGGGGCACTGAGGTATCCAAACACCAACCCTTGTATATACCATTTCATATTTTCTTGCATTTGTTTTTTTTTTCTTGGTTTTGCCCTCTTGAATCTTTCACTAAATTTCTCTCACACAAGGGACTGTGTGATTTAAGTTTGGGGGAGGGTTCAAGAGATGATTTAACCTTGTTTTCTTTGTTCTTAGTTTTTCATTTCTTTTGCATAGAAAAACCAAAAAAATCATAAAATTTTCAAAAAATCCAAAAATATTTTCATCTTTTTGCATTCATATTTGTTAGACTTGTTTAGGATTGCATTTTTCACTTGCATTGTTGATTTGACTTTGAAAACTTGTCCATCTTTTGCGATTTCTTGAGTGCCCTGTTTTTAGATTCTTTTGTGCATTAGGGTGAGATTGATTGAGCAGCAAGAACCATGTTTATCTTGATCATATCACTGCATGCACATCTCATTCAACCATTGCTGTGATTTGATGCATTTCCCTATCTATTTGAACCATAACTTGATCTTTAATTACCAATGCTTGCATTTGATTTCAACTCATGGCTACCACATACATATCTGGACATTCTTTACCTATTTTCATATCCCTTTGCTTGTCCAGATAGCTGATCTCTATCTTTGAGACAGTTACCACACCTTAAACCTAAGCCTTTTCATTTCAAACCCCATTTTCTCTTGTGCGAATGTGAGAACCTTTCTTGGCTTTGCTTAGCATAAGGTGTTGTGTTTAAACCGGCAGGGGCAGTAGTTCTAGTTGTCTAGTTCTCTTGGGATTGTTTTCAGGCTAAGTTTGGGGGTGCCAACTCGAGCTCGATCGAGTTGGGTGTCAAAAACCAGAAAAGTGGTAAAAGTTGGGAAAATCCAAAGGAAAAAGAGTTTAGTTAAGTCCAGGGAGTTGGCAGTGTAAAAAGGGTCTAGTAAAGGTTTGGGAAGTTAAAAAAGGAAGTAAAAAGGGTTCTAAGTAGAATGAAAAGAAGGCAAAGCCTCAAGTGTCAAAAAGGAAAGAAAAGTTCCCTAAGTGTTTAGAAAATCCCAAACCGCTAGATGTTACCTCAAGAAGCCTCTCCCTAGGAAGTTCTTAAAAGAAAAGTGAGCAAAGCTCCTCAGTTTCAAAGGCGAAATGCCAAAAAGGGTAGTTAGGATTTTGTTCTAAAAAGCTCTAAGTGTTGAACTCGATCGAGTTAGGATTAGACGGCTCGAGCTGCTGTTCTTGCATCATCTTTGGTTCTAACACTTAGCCTTCTGCCAAAGCAAAGCCACTTTCTTGAGAGATCCCTGTTACTAAACCACCATACAAAAGAGACCCTCTTTGTCTCTTAACCCATAAACCCTTGAAACCAAATGAGTTGATTGATCTTGCATGTTTTTGGTTCACTGTTTTTGCTTAATGAATGTTAAAGGGATTTGCTGATTTGAATGCATTGTTTGAGTGACTGTGAAGTGGGATTGATGTTGATAAGCATGGTTAAATCTTAATGAATATCTCTCACCTTGTTGCATTCTAGAATCTCTAAGTTGGACATTTAGCAAATCGCTTTTGAGGACATGTTTTTAAGTGTTGAATCAGCTTGTTTTCAAACCTCATCTCTTTCTTGTTCTATTTGTTTGCTTGAGGGCAAGCAAAGGTCAAGTTTGGGGGTGTTGATGTACTTGCATTTTACATAGTTTTAGTACATCTTTTATGCATCTTTTGCATAGTTTTAGCATCCATTAGCATCATATCTTGTTCCTTTTCTCTTCTTATGCATTCATAGTAGTTTTAGGTTGCATTTGCATACATATGCATGTTTGGTCCTTTGAAATAGGTCTTTTGGAGCATTCTGGAGCATATGGGACGTGAGGAGCATGGAAGGGACTTGGCATGGACGCAGCTCAACTGGATACGCAAAGGAAGAAGGAGGAAGCCATCTTGAAGACCAGCTCGACCATCTACTCGACCGGCCAAGCTTCAACTCGATCGAGCTGGAAGTCAAAGTCAAACCCGAAAAATGTTGCTTCCCCCTTGACTTTCCTTTGACCCTAAACCTAATCCTCTTGTATTTAAAGGCTAAAAGCCACGAAAAAACCACCAAGCTTTAGATTACTTTTTGTTTTAGTTTCTTTTAATTATTGTCTTTTACTTTTTAGAGCTCTAATCCCATCTTTGTGTTCTTGAAGCTCTTGCTTCTTGAATCCTAGATCCTGGATAATCTCTTTGTATTTGCACTTGCTTATTTCAATAAAAGTTGTTTATTTTATCTCCTCTTTCTTATGATGTCTCTTTTATTGCATTTGCTTGTGTTTACATTCATGTGTAGTGAGTAGTTACCCATTAGGGTTTGAGATGGGATAGATTAGAGGTTTCATATGCTTAATCCTTCTTGCTTATGGTCTTAATCTAGATTCTCTCTCTTTTGGATAGATCTTAAGGCTACATGACCACTACCCCTGGCTTGTATGTCCTTAGGCGATTCTCCACATGGAAGTGATGGAAATCGCTGGAAAAGGTCCACTAAGAGCTCCAATATCTCTTGCTCTAGAAATGAGGTCTAAGGGGTTGGATGGATTAGTTTGGCAATGATCCTATGGCCTCCAAGGCTTGATTCTCACTGGCTAACCCCCTGTTTCTGAGATCATTCCTTGGTTGATAGCCTTTCACCTTGGGAAAGGGTTGCTAGGCATTGAGAAGCCCAATATCAAGAGAAGCCTTGATACAAGGAGTTTTAAGAGCAGATTGATTAAGTGTAGTTTCCTCTGATTGCAAAACCCTGTCTTGAACCCTAATTCTTCTTTAGCTTGTTAAAGTCGTGCCTTTATTGCTTTTTACTTCAACTCGACCCTAAACTCGATCGAGCTCGGTACTCTGTTCCACTCGACTCGAGTCCTTGGTCGAGCTGTTGCTCTACTGCTTTATTTACTTTTATGCATTTCATTTCTGTTTCATTTAGGTTGTTAGTGTTACCCCAATCTATTACTGCTTGCTTGACTTCCTTGTTGTTTCATATTCTCATAGAGTGACAAGTTTCCCATTTTGGATTGATACCCTTTACTATAATGACTATCATGGTTAAAGGGAATTGTTGACTGTGTTTGTGTTTGCATCTTACCACCTCATCATATACCACTGTTGCATTCCACCATATCTCATTTCATATCTTTCACACACACACACAAAACTTATCATCACTAACCAAGACCCACAAATATTTTATAGTTTTTACCTTAATCTCTTGGATTGTGAACTTCAAGCTGGTTACTTGAGGGTCTCAATCTAAGAACTATCTAATCAGTGATTTCAAGTATTTTGCAAGGATTTAATTACTTGACAGGAAGGATATCAAGAAGAAATGCTATAGCCGACCACAACCATCATACCTATGGAGGTTTAAGGAAGGTTTCAAAGGAGGATCATACCCAATCCCAAGGAACAAGGCGAGAACCACCTGGGAATGATAAATAAGGGTTAGAAAATCACTTTGGTCGAAGAAAATCTCAATTGGCCCGAGTGGATTTGAAGAAATTCCATCCGGCCTATTTCTCTCGGCCATGGCACATACAAGGAGAATCAATCTCGGCCAACTCCTCAACCGTATGTTCAAAGTCCACCAAACTTCACAGGCGGCCATAAAATCAAATTTTGGTCGGCAAATCCAAAAGATAGGACGGTGAAATGTTCACGGTTCAGGAGATATACAGAAGAGCCCATCCGGTCGTCCGCGGTGCAACCAAATGGCCGACAAAACCAAATCACGGCATAGGCGCGAACTCCGGCTGGAAAACTTCCTGGAGCTTCAATAACACATTTCCAAAGGAATATCACAAAACGAACGAGCCAAACTCAAGGATGGCCAAGAAACCTCTTCCCGGAGCCATATTGACCACTTTGTGAAGGATCTCTCAATCCACTCGTTCGAATGCTCTCAAACTTCACCAGGGCCATAAAATATGAGGTTGGTCGATGAAATTTCAATATGGGTCGAGGAATTCTTATATTTTGAGCTGTGGTCCATAGCACTACCCTCCGGTCGACCGAAATGTCCCATCTCGGCCAAAACGCAACCCGGAGTGAACCAAGCCCTGAAATTCAAAACTCACCGACCAATATCACATGAGGAAGTCTCCTATTCATTCATGACCTAAGGCTGGAAAAGGTCAACCACATACCACCACTAGGTTGTTTCTTCATGGACTTAAGGTCTAATCAGGTTATATCTTTCTTCTCATTCACTCACACATTATTACCTCTTTCTTTTTCCTCCCTTAATCGGATTTGCTTTCACCGGGACGGTGCAAGTTAAGTCTGGGGGGATTGTTGGTACTAATGTGTTTGTTCATGCCTTGTCTTCATCTTATATCTTTTCTCTTTCCCACCTTTTTCAAAAATTTCTGTTTTATTGAGTCAAAACCAGTTGGAAACAATGATCTATTCTTGGAGCTTACCTTATCACACCAAAGCTCTTGTGATCACAAAGGCGAATACTGACGCCGAACAATGCCTAACGGAACCTCTGAGGGTGGATCGACCTACTGATTTGGCAAGATTTCTAAGGTACCCACGCAATCTAGAGTTAACTCCACAACTTAATGAACCTTTAATTTTCTTGTCAAGGGGCTTGAGATACATATGAGCCGACTCCTCATTCAGGTCTAGTTGAGACATGTCAAGAAAGAAAAGTCATCCTCTCTCTCATCTGCAAAAGAACTCAAAAGCTTTTAGCACAAGGAAAACAAGTAAGCATGAGGAATGCATACTTCTGTACCTTCATGTCTTATGGAATACCTTATAAACAAGGAGGAAGCAAAGCCAATCCATGTGTCCCACAAAGAAATCTTAAGGGAAGGAGGATCGATAGAAAAAATAAAATGATACCCTAGAAAAGTAGGGAAAAATCGATCCTTCAAAGAGAGAGAGAAAGGAGAGAGGTTTGGTACTGAATGTGCTAAAAAGACTGTCTTGGCAAACACTTGGATGGGTAAGAATCAATGCTCTGTGATCAATACTCCCTTGATAAAGACCACACGTTTTAAATACTGCAAGGAGTTAGCAATAGAGAGTTTGGAATACTGGATGAGATTTGTTGGGTCCGGTATGGTTCGCTAAGCTCAAGGTCAGTACGGGAAAGCTAGTTTCAAAGTTGGTTTTGCTCCAAATGAAAGCAGAGCAATGGTAGATACAAGTTCTAAAGGATAAGTGAGTTTCCATGTTTTCAAAACCTCTTCACTAGTTTGGATTCGATTTGCTTGGGGACAAGCAAAGATCTAAGTCTGGGGGAGTTGATATACCTCTATTTTACATGCTTTTTATATGGTTTTACTATGCTTTTCATAAGGTTTTTAATGGCTTTCTGATCTAAAAAGGTAGTTTTTATGGATTTATAGTACTTAGAGTCTAAACAGGTCAAAAGATGCATTTTGGAGCAAAACACAGGATTTGGACTTCAAGACCACTCCAAGACGTAGCATCAACTTAAGAAGGGCCTTAAAAACATTCTACTCAATGGACTTCATCAAATCCAGTTCGACGTGATGCATACGTGAGTTAGCTTTGCAACGCAACTGGAATCAATCAATTTGACCGAGTAGATTGGGAGATATCTCTATTTCCCTGAGACATATACCGAGGAGCTTTATCGGACTGCATCAGTACATCAGACGAGCAGCAGCGGCTTGGACCCTTAAACTCAATGGATTTCAATGAAACTCACACCAAGATAGGAGATGAGTTAGTGTTCCAATGCCGTTGGAAGTATGCAATTTGGATAAGCCTTTAGGAGATATCACGTTTGTACTGAAGACTGGTCCACAGCCGGCCGAACGCACTCGGCCGGACAGGAAGGGAATTGGCTTCGCTCGGCCTTCTCCAGGACCGATCCGGCCGCACGACCGCACCGTCCGAGCCGGGAGGCAATGGACCACGATCGACCGAGAACATCACATCACGGCCGACCCCGACGGCCGACCACATCCCTTACACGGTCGACCCGAGCTCCGCGAACAAAAGCCCACTTATGCAGTTTCACTATTCTCGGCCCGTTTCACCTCAACCGACTTGTGGAAGACCTAGGGCACTATAAATACTCTTTTTTAGCCTCTTTAGAAGAGAGAGCCGCACAGGAGAAGAGCCACAAGAGAGAGACGCACTAGGGAGCTCCCCTTAGAGGGATCTCCATTGTTTTACTTCTTTCTCATTGTTTTCTTAAGGGAGAAGATCCCTTCTTTGTATCTCGACATAGAGAAGCTTTCTAAACCCTTTTCTCCTTATAATACTATGATTTCTTCTCATGATTTATGCTTGTTTACTTGCATGATGATTGAGTAGATTTCTAGTTAGGTTGTGGGTTTCAAAGAGTTCATGAATCATTAGGTTGCTAAATTCGAAATAGGGATTATCATATAGATCTTCATCTTCACTTAATTCATTGCTGCTTGCTTTTCTGATCAACTAGCATCAGATCTTAGGTTTCATATACTCTCCAAAAGCTTGCTATATAACCGGAACTAATTTTTGAGCAAACTTCATAGACTGCGAAAGTTGATCTATGCGGGGTTGTGAAATGAACTTGAACTAATGCTTGATTTAATCACCTAGGGACATACCAAAAGTTTAGCGACTAGGTAGATTAACAAAGGAACGGAGCCTCGACAGTGGAATGATCATACATTCGTGTTTGAGTTCTAGATGGCACATTCCCCCCTAATGAATTTGATTGCATAACTTGATATTCTTGAATCTCTGCGAGCTTGCCCATTGCCTAGCGTCTTTCCCACATTGAATTCACACCGTTTTACTTTGCTTTCATTTAGTTTAGTTTTTTGCATACCAAACCCCAAATCTATCCTCTTGTCCTAGCTAAGTTAGACTTGCATAGCTTGTAGTGCACTTATCTGCTCCTTGTGTTCGATAACCCGTTACTACACCTGACCTGTGCACTTGCAGAATCAGGGATAGGAATAGGTAAAACCTGATCCCGCATCATGTTCGACCCCAACTACAACACGGCTGTGCACTTGCAGCTCATCTAGTTGGGTTACAAATTATGAAAATTTGAAGCAATCTAAACCCGCATCATGATGAAGGTGCTAATCCAGATGAGACAGTGGCTGAACAAGGAGATGCGAATGTTGATGATGGAGATGATGTTGTTGAGGATGCAGGTGATGGTCGTAATGACGACAGGTTTAGGTCTGTTTCTGAGGAAGGATCAAGTGCAAAACCAGTGAAGGAAGCATATCAAAATTAGAAGAAAAAGAGGCTGCAGAAAGAGAAGCAGAGGAAAGTGAGGAAGAATGTGTTATAGAGGAGGATGCTGAGTATCCAGATACTCCACTAGAATCAGATGAAGAGTGGAACAGTGGGATAATCCGAAAGGGAAAAGGAAGGGAAGATCTCAGTTCCATGGAGATTTGGAGAAGGAGCCCTACATTTTGTTATTTCAGAAGTTTAATAGTGGCTTAGAGTTTAAGGACCAGCTTCTGCGATACTCATTGAAGACACAATATGATGTTAAGATGCAAGGTCTGAAGCAAACAGAATAGCTGTTATCTGTTGTGGTGAGAATTGCAAGTCTAGAGTCTATTGTTCGTTTGAGCTGCCTATTAACAAGTGGATGGTCAAAGTTTGCAATATGCGTCACAATCACAGGAAATCCAGCAGGGTTTCGATGTTGAAGCAAGGAGTGATCGCATGGGTTATTTAGAGAAGAGATAAGAAGGAATGTAAACCTACAAGCAGCAGTGATCAAAGACACAATCAAGGAGCGGTATAACATTGTTGTTCGATGTCAAAGTGTATAGAGGGAGGCGTATTGCTTTGAATACTATCATGGAAGCTCAAACCACACAATTTGCTAAGCTATGGGATTATGAAGCTGAACTCAAACGCACACATCCTAATATCAGAACTGATCTCTGCACAATCCGTAAAGATGATGAGGGTGTGGACATGTTTGACTGTTTCTATATTTGCTTTGATGAGTTTCGAACAACATGGAAGAATTGTTGCAGGCAGTGATTGGTTTGGATGGATGCTTTCTGAAATGGGTGTTGAATGTGATTTGCTTTCAGCTGTGGGAAGAGATGCTGACAACAGAATGTATCCGATTGCATGGGCGTTGTTAGAGGTGAGAATAAAGACACTTGGGGTGGTTTATTAAGAAGCTTAAAGTCGACCTTGGCTTAGGAAATGGAGAAAACTTCACGATAATATCCGATAAGCAGAAGGTAACAATCATTCTTATTACGTTTTCTTATGTTTAGTAATCATTTACTCATTAGTCATTTTTATAGGGTTGGTGATAGCCATGGATGCTGAACTTCCAAAAGCAGAGCATCATATGTGTGCAAGACATATCTATGCTAATTGGAAGAAACAAGGTTTCTCGAGATCAGAGTACAAAAACTTGTTTTGGGGAGTTGCCTACAGCTACACAGAAGGAGAGTATGAAGCTAATATGGAGTTGGTTAAGGCATATGATCCTTCTGCGTATCATGCTCTACTAGTCACGGAACCTCATAGGTGGTGTCGTGCTTTCTTTATTAAAGAGTCTAACTGTGCTGATGTTCATAATAATTAGTCTGAGAGCTTCAATAGGACAATTAAAATTCCTAGATCAATGCCTGTAATCAATCTGCTGGAGGAGGTCAGAAGACAAGCCATGAGGAGAGTATCTAGAAGGTTTCTTAAGGCAGAAAGGTGTGAGACAATTGTGACACCGATCACAATGGGGTTATTCGAGAAATCAAGGCTTGCCGTTGCTTATTGTTCAACAACGAGAAGCAGCAAAAGTTTGAATGAGGTGCAATAGTTTAACGAAAGTTACAATGTGTATATATCCACAGATGTTTTGTTGTTATTTTGATATTGTCTCCCTCTATTTATCTGATGCATTGTCTTCTTGTGTCAGGTATACCATGCAAACATGCGATATGCATTTTGGATGATAACCAAGATGATCCGGTGAGATATGTCCCAAAGTACTACTATACCGATGTCATGAAGAAGACATATGACGACAACATCAAACCTGTGAATGGCGCGAAGATGTGGAGGAGAACACATAAGCCTCCAGTAGGGATTCCTGAGATGCGCAAGCCGAGAGATCATCTAAATAACCGGGACAGAAGGAAGGAACCAATTGAGGATCTGCAGAATGCAGGCAAATCAACAAGACATGGAAGAATCCCACATTGTAGCCGATGCAAGCAAGCTGGACATATTAAGAGTAGCTGCAAGAAAAAAGTAGTGGTTGTAGGAGGACCCAAAAACAGACGTGGTCGACCAAGAAAGTTTCCAAGTGAGATAAAAATCTCATCTGCTTTTTGGTATTAGATGAAATAAGTGGTATGTTGTTTGATGGTGTTTAGAGGTGTTAAGTGGTTTGTTGTTTGATGGGGTTTGGAGTGATTGTTAAGTGGTATGTCGTTTTTCTGTTATGTTTCAGGACATCCCAAAACCACCGACAAAGCCGAGAAAAAGAAGGAAAGCTCCCACCGATACAAGTTCGTCGCAGCCTTTACCACCAAATGCAACCGGTGAAGCTGAAGTTAGTGGTTGTGCTCCTCAGCCTTCAGTGTCCACAAAAAAAGTCAAACCACACGTGAAGAAGGCTCCGAAAGGAAGACCACTTAGAGTTAAGAAAACCATACCGGTTCCATACGTAGTTGGAACGTTTTGGAGTCCATACACTAACCATCAGTTTGAAGTGTTTGGAGACCGTGTGTATGATAGGTCTGGTCTAGATCCACAGGCTCCTCAAGACCCGAGCATGCAGCCTCCGGAAGACACAAACATGCAGCCTCCACAAAATCCAAACATGGAGCCTAGAGAAGACCCAAACATGTAACTTCCGTAAGATGATAAGACCCTTGTTTCTTTGTTTTGAACTTGTGGCAGTTGGTACTTGTTTTCTCCTTTTTTTATTTTGAAGATGTTATGGGTCCATCAAAGAATTTATGGTACTTGAACATGTTATGGTACTTGGTATTTTTAGAACATATATCGGTTTTTTTTGTTGGAAACAACTTGTCCATGATGTTATGGTTCTTGTTATTTTTATTGTAGTTCGGCTTTTTGTTGGAAACATCTTGTATGTTCTTATCTTTCCTTGTAAAACTTATTCCAAAATCCTTATTTCATTGTAAAAACTGAATGGATACGACATGAATAAAAACTGTTCCATTACTCCTCCAACAAGCACAACAAGTCCTACTAATGATGCCACAAAAACATTACAAAGTACAATACTTCTCTCCCTTAGGATCAACACTTCTCATTCAAGCGCCTCGTTTCTTTCCTTCAATGTGACCACCAATGCATTTGAATTTCTGGCATTATCAGAATGATGAGTTTGTGTTCTTACCGTGTTCTTCAAACCCTCAATCTCTGCTTTTTTCTCTTTAATTGTCTGATCTGCCTCCAATAATGCAACATGTTGCCATCCGTGTGGTTCCTCTTTATCATACCAATAAAAGAACTTGTAATAGACCCACCCATTGACTCCTCAATAGAGTATGCAACTATAGTTACTACGCCCAGGGTTTTTACGGGTCCAAGCTCTCACAATCTTTGTTGGCCGGTGACAATAGCAAAGTACACCATTATCAGTGTAACGCCCCCGCCGGTGAGTCACCCACGCCCTCTCTCGGCCCGTGGGCCCCACCCCTGTCCGACGGTCGGTGCGTTATTTTTGGGAAGCTCGGCGAATGTATTTACTATCCCTGCAATCATCACCCGACCTTTTCCCGTGTTTTTTCCTAACTCACACGGTTTCGCAAAGGGCTTCCCGAAAGGTCACCCATTTTTCCACTACTCCAGCCCAAGCACGCTTAACTCTGGAGTTCTTTATGGGCCCTTGACTGAAAAGGTAAGTGCACTTTGATGACATAGGTAGCCAAATTAATTCTCTTATTCCTCTCCTCATTTATTGCAAATCGGGATGGTACAATTCACCCCGACTCAATGAGCGCAACGTCCCCGTTGCGTACCAAGATCGTCACCCCTGACGGTTAACAGTGTGAGCCCACTCGTCTCCACACATACGTCTGGGTTCGGCTCTTATACCAATTGTAACGCCCCCGCCGCCCCTCCCGGTGAGTCACCCACGCCCTCTCTCGGCCCGTGGGCCCCACCCCTGTCCGACGGTCGGTGCGTTATTTTTGGGAGGCTCGGAGAATGTATTTACTATCCCTTCAATCATCACCCGACCTTTTCCCGTGTTTTTTCCTAACTCACACGGTTTCGCAGAGGACTTCCCGAAAGGTCACCCATCCTTCCACTACTCCAGCCCAAGCACGCTTAACTCTGGAGTTCTTTATGGCCTCTTGACCGAAAAGGTAAGTGCACTTTGATGCCATAGGTAGCCAAATTAATTCTCTTATTCCTCTCCTCATTTATTGCAAACCGGGATGTTACAATCAGTGTTAGATGAAGTCACACTCTGAGAATTCGCACTCTGAAACGTCGATGAACTCTCACTGTAGCAATGGAGAAAGACCAAGTTCACATTGAAGTAGAAAATGGCATATCAAAATTTATCTATCAACATTCTTAACACACATCGCAATTTCTAATGCTTTCGAATAATAACGTACACAGATCAAGAAGCAAACCAATTTCTACATGGAAACTAAAACTGCAAATCCGGAATTTTTGATATCGAGCAAATCTAATACCTAAATTTCTTTCTACTTCACAAAAAAAAAGGAGATGAATTCGATTCACAAGCAATTACTAGCCATTTTAACATGAATTAAAGAGTAGATACAAACAATAGATAGGACCCTTACCTCATTTCACCCAGATTTCGTCCTATCTCGATTTTAATTTTGTCTTTGCGAAATCTCTCTCATGAACCCTAAATCCCCAAATCGATTTTGGTTTTCTCGTTCCCGATTTTGATTTTGCTTCTTTTTTTTTTTTTATTAAAACACACCGTTTTGGTGTTAACTACTCATATTTAATGTTTTAACTCGACCAAAGTAACATGAGTTAACAAATTAAATACGTGTTTGAAAAAGAGAACGGCGGTTAACTGTTACGTTATCAAAGTCAACTGTTCCGGTCATCCGAATGGCGGTGCAACCAACTTCGGTGGTTTGGAGATTTAAGGTGTTAGTAGAAATAGTTTCAGTGTTTAAAGTGTTAGTGTGATACTTTGGAGGTTTAAAGGCTAACTTTTGCCACTTTGAATATTTAAAATGCGATTTTCCCAATTTTTAAGTTATGTGAAAAAATATTTCTTAAATTTTATAAATCATCTAATATCTATTAATTTTCTTAGTTGATGTTTTTATTATTTTACTTTGTAAAATATATTTTATATAAAATATGTTTTTGTAACTGCATTACATCCTAAAACTTGCCATGTAGTTTTCATTGACAAATAAATATTTTTATTTCTATTACAAACCTTTTCAAATATATTTTTTTTTTTTTTTTTAACATCTGATTATATTATTCATAATGTGAATGGAAAATACAAATATTTCCTCAACCAAACTGGTGGGGATGAAAGAAACATACAAGAATTTTGTGATCTTAAGTAAGCCTTAGCTAAACATCTGCTGCTTGGTTTTTTCCCTGTTGATGTGGCCAAGTGAGCATAATGGTAACTTCCGAATCCAAAAGTTAATATCACAAAGGATATTACCAGCTCCATACTCTTCTTTTGTTGGTTGATTATATTCGTAAGCTCCAAATTGTCCCCTTCAAACCACACATTCCTCCATCCTTTGCACCATATTCGTTGAACCACATAAAGAAAGCCACAAGCTTCAGCTTGTAAAGGCGAATCAACTTGTGGAAGCTTTGTCCATCCTGCCTCCATGAACATACCCGTATGATTCCTAACTATCCATCCTACAGCCATAGAATCACTATCTCGGGAGAAGCTACTATCAAAGTTGCACTTTAGAATTCCTTCTGGTGGTGGTTCCCATTGGATTGTTGCGTGTCGTTGCCTCTCCGTAATATGCTTCTCAGGGTTTGCCTCTAACCATTCCATTGCTGCTTGCAAGCCCCTCCTAGCATCCTCCTGCGGCTGTGTGACCTTTTGTTGGAATAACATTTCATTTCTTGACTTCCAAATCATCCACATTACCCAAAAAGCAGAATATCTCACCTCATACGACAGATCTTCAATCTCGGTAAATGACATTAACTTCCGTATATTCTCTTCAAGTGTGCCCTGACCATCCAGAGTCACAAAGTTAGCGCATCTCCATACCGATTGGGCTTGTTGACACTGAAAAAATAAATGATTTAGTGTCTCCTCTTCAAGACAGCATCTTTGACAGATAGGATCAATATTTGTAGCACGAGAACATAATCTTTGTGCCGTAGGGAGGGCTTCAGATATTACCTTCCAAAAGAAATGTTGGAGTTTTGGCGCTATCTTTGTCTTCCATAATGCACGTTTGAGTGTATGATCCCGGGGGAGGTTCAATTTGGTCTTCATGGGGAATAATATGTGTAGCCGTCCAGTAGCCTGATTTCACTGTATACACACCATCCACCGTATATGGCCAAACATATTCATCTTTCTGAGCATATCTTGAAAGCCGGATGGTTTTAGCTAGACGGGCATCTTCCAAATCCAATAATGCAGCAAGCTTGTCCTCATCCCATTCCCGTATTCCTGGCTTCCATAAGTCCTTCACTTTCATCTCTCTTCGATGTCCTTGTTGCTGTACCACCCTTGGCGGTAACACTGGGAGCCAATTATCATCCCAGACACTCGTATCTTCACCATCTCCTAATCTTACTTGTAAACCTTTTTTAAGCAAGGATTTTCCTGCTTGTATTGACTTCCATCCATACGATGGATTCCTCCCACCCACCGACTCTAAGAATGTCGATGATCTGTGGTACCTTCCTCTGTACAACCTCGCGAGCAAAGATGACGGATTAATAAGTAATCGCCAAGCTTGTTTTGCTAACAACGCTTTATTGAAACAATGTAAATCTTTAAAACCCATACCTCCTTCACTTTTAGGTAGGGCCAAGCGTTTCCATGAAATCCACGAGATCTTCCTCCTACCGTGCTCGTTTGTTCCCCACCAAAATTCTGAAAGGATACTATCCACCTTTTCACACGTTTGTTTTGGTAATAAGAAACAGTTCATTGAATAAACTGGTTTGGCTTGTGCAATCGACTTTATCAGAGTTTCTTTACCTGCAGCTGTTAGAAATTGGTTGTACCATCCTCCAACAGTCTTCTTAACCCCATCCACAATACTCTGAAACGCCTCTGTCTTGCTTTGTCCAAATTGTTCCGGGAGACCTAGATATTTCCCGCCTCCGCCTACATTATAGATTCCCAAAACACTCTGAATGTGTTGTTTTCTTGAATACGGAATTCTCATGCCAAAAATATCTGATGACTTAAGGAGATTAACTTTCTGACCTGAGAGTTCTTCATAATCCTTTAGAATTTGTGCCATCCTCATACTGTCTTGAGTAGTAGCTTTACAGAAGAATAGAGAATCATCCGCAAATAACAAATGTGAAACGGAAGGACAATGTTGTGAAAGTGTCATACCTTGAAATTCTCGCCGAGCCTCAGCTTGGTTAATCATTTGAGACAATGTTTATGCACAAAACAAAAAGAGATACGGAGATAATGGATCGCCTTGACGGATACCTCTACTTGGTTTTACAATACCATAATCAGATCCATTGATTATGATTGAGAATGTAACTGACCTGACACAAGCCATAATCCACTGTGTCCAAGTTTCAGAAAGGCCCATCTTCTTCATCACCTCTTCCAAAAAATTCCACTCAACTCGATCATATGCCTTGCTAATGTCTGTCTTGATCGCCATGTAATTTTCTGCACAATCTCGTTTAGACTTCAAGCCATGCATTAGTTCATGTGCAATCATTACATTATCAGTAATTTGCCTTCCAGGGACAAAATCTGCTTGGTTATCAGAGATTATAACCCCTAAGATTTGTTTCAAACGCAAAACCAAAATCTTTGAGATTATTTTGTAACTTACCGTACATAGGCTTATTGGACGGAAGGCAGATATCTTCTCTGGATCAGTTATTTTTGGTATTAGACAAAGCTGCGTATGATTCATCCTCTCCTCTAGAACCCCTGTTGCAAAGATTTTTTTAACCATTTTACAGACATCAGTACCTATATCATCCCAGAAATGTCTGTAGAAGACACCAGAGAAACCATCATGACCTGGTGCTTTATCTGGGCCAATTAAGAGCATTTCTGCCTTGATTTCTTCATCTGAGACATCCCGTATTAGAGCCGCATTAATTTCTCAGTAATCTTGTGATCCATCTCCGGTATGATGTCAGCTAAAGAGCGAGTATTAGATGCAGTAAACATCCCATGGAAGTAATCCTCTGCCACCTTTGCAATCGCTTCATCTTTGGTATGCACTATCCCCTCGTCATCTTGCACTCTTTTGATACATGTTTTTGGTTTCCTAGCTTTTGTAGCTCCGTGAAAGAAGGCTGTGTTTCGATCACCCGCCTGCAACCAGACTTATAAGTTTTTTATATCCTTATTAATTTGTAACTCTTATAAAATTTGTTTCATTTATTACATAAAAACATGTTAATTTTTTTGTTCTTATTTATAGTTATCTTTATATATTTTGAATTCTCAAGGTATGTGAAATAAAAATTCTTATATTTTATAAATCATCTAATATCTTTAATTTTCTTAGTTGATGTTTTCATTACTTTATTTTTTGTAATATATATTAGGCTGTTTGGTAAATAATATATTTTATATTAGGGAAATATAAAAATAAAAAGTGTGTAAATTAATGTTTCTTTAACTTTAGTTTTAATGTTTTGCATTTCTCATTTTCTTCTCTTTTGTGATTAAATGTGGCATAATCTATATAAAATTAGGCTAATGTGGATAGCTTTAGAGGATAGAAAACTCTATCATCACATATAAGATAATAAATTTGGCTTTTAGCTTTAGTAAAAGGGATGATTTTAAATGTTAGAAGCTGCATAATTTTTACTTATTTCTCCAACTAAAATTCAACATTAAGATCTTTTATTAAGACTTTATAAGCATTCAACTTTAGTCTACAAATTAAAAGACTTTTGGAACTTCCCATGAACCCAAACTCGGTACATAATTTTACCCTTTTTCCTGTTTACTGCTTTCACACAACAATTTTCGAGCTCAACCTGCAAAACAAAGACTCAAAAATCAAAATATTCACAAATTTGACACAAAAATTTTGTGTTCACTTCAGCCACAACAAAGAACATGAACAAGAAGGTTATACCTCAATGAATCCAGCATCAGCAAATAGACTCCTGACCATGTCGAGACAGAAGAAATAAGAAAGTGTTCCATCAGACCGCACATATTCCCTGAACCCGATACGTTTCTCTGGCTCAAACCGAAGCATAGTCATGTCATACAAACCTGAATTTTGAGTTTAGCCTATTAGTTTTCTCTTTATTGGTCAAAACTCTTAATAGTAGTGCTGATTCAACAATTACCATAATCTCTAAATAAGAGCAGGCCTCCAGGTTTTAGTACCGCAAAACATTCCTTGATAGCTCTCGGCATCATTTCTTTAGGCACTGCCGACAATGTGAAAATCTGACATATCATAAGAAAAGCCGAGTTTCAATGAGTCATAACAGAGCATATAATAAGCCAAGGTTCACTACTGATTCATGCAGTGATTGCAATGTTTGGTCTTTAACTAAATGACCTAATGTGTTCACATACCAGAGTCACAAAATCCACTCCGCCGACGCAGTGTTCACTCAATGAACATTTATAGTTCACATGTATGCCTTCGCTCTCTCCTGTTAAATGAAGAAGCATAAGACAGTACAAGATTAGCAAGGCGTGTATAGAGAGAGTAAGAGAGATCAGTGTTGAGAGAATTGGTGGATAAAGGGACCAAAACCTGAGTGGTAGCAATCTTTCTTAAGCTTGAAGTTGTCTCGGCAATGATCACATGCCACCCAATTTGGGAACTTAGACTTGGAAAAGTCACAACAGAAAGAACGGAAGTTGTCAACTGAAGCAATAGCTAGATCAATGTTCTCTTTAGTCCTAACAAGAGCCTCACTGCTACAATCGCAAGCGTATACAATGTTCTTGCTTCCACTGCACAACAAGCAAAAGACAAACAAATACAAGTACATAAAGAATAAGATTAGCTTAGGATTAGGAGCACATCAAGAATCAAGAATCAAAACAGCAAGTGGAGATCTAAAGGAGTTACCGCAAAATGGGAAGCACTGTACTCCCATTACCACAACCAACTTCCAAGAGTTTAGACTTCTCTTCACAGGAAACTAACTCAGGAAATTCCTTCAACAAGTATCTTCTTTCCTGTGAACAAGAACATTCTGCCTTAAAGTACCATGTATTGAATTGTAGAGCTTCTTTAGCTTTGGTTTAACAAACTTTGCATAATTCCTCTCTGTTATGATTGATTGTCAAATTGAGCACTAATTTCGCATCAATTTTGCATCCATCTTCTACATTCATATACGATCAAAGCAAGTTTCTAACTCAGAATTTTCTTCGACTGTAACTGATATTTGCCGATTGCGAACCCAGAAAACAATAACAAAAAAAAAAGCCTAAAGGATCTCGAAATTTGGAATTGGGAATAGCGTCGAATTTTTAGGTTTCCGAGGGATTCGGAATTCGAAATATACGAGTGTGATCGGTGAATTTGATACCTTGAAGAATTTTCCGGAGGAGTGACGAGAGTGGAAATCTTGCCATGGCTGCGAATCTGGTGAGGGAGAGGAGGAATCTGGATGGTGATGGAGATGGTGGGAGAGAGAAGGATCATTCTCTACTAAATTCTTCAGAAATTCCCACTGGAAATCCTTGGAGTGGTACTCTCCTGCTTCCACTCTTTTCTCCATCGTTGATCCAAAGGTTGAACTTGATTCAATGAATCTGCTCTCGGTTTTGGGTTTTGAGCAACTGAACCGGACGGTTTAGAAAACCAAAACCAGTAAACACGGTTACACGGGTTTGATTAAATGTTAGTTTCGGGTTTATTTGGAATTAATTGCTAATTTGCCATAAATGAGCGAACCCGTTGCTCATATGCCATAATTTGGAAAATAATTTCTTTTCTATTTTCTTTTAAATTGAAAAGTTCTGCAAATACAATAAAACCCTTAAGAATTTGAAATATTTATAGATCCAACCAGCTATATCCACCTGACTTGTTATCTATCCACCTGACTTGTTATCTATCCAACTGAATTTGGGTCAAAATTAATCTATCTTATTATATAAAACTAGATGCGCGCGACGTGGTTGCGACACGTAGGATTTTTATAAAATTTAGGATTGCGACATGTGTCACTTTTAATGTTATGTCCGTTAAGATCGTGACATGTGTCTTAGAAAAAAAGAAAAAAATAATAATTAAAAAAAATTAGATAAAGGAAAAACGAATTTTTAATCTTTTATAGTTAAAAGAAAAAAAATTATATTTGTCATATCTTAATAGAAAAAGGTTTGGGATTCTTTGAAAAATACCCTCTTTGTGTTTAAAATTTTGAAAAATACCCTAATTTATTTCTGTTTGAAAAATACACTTTTTAAATGTAAAAAGACTGTTTTGACCTAATTTAAACAAAACATTAAAAAATCATTACAGCTAAAAATTAAAAACGAAATTCAAAAATAATAGAATCAATAAGATTTTTTTCAGATAAATATAAATTTTAAAAATTAAAAAGTGGATAAATCTATATTCCATTTTTAATGTTTTCTGTAAACAAATTTTTTTTTATAACTTTATATAAACAACTTTAATCTCATCCCCATTCCAACCAAATGAAAATTTATAAATATTAAACTTTACACTTTATAAACTAATTGAAATTTTAATAGTGTATAATTTTATCTTCCATTTTTAATGTTTACATTTATACATATTTAAATATTTTTGAAACATTATATAAACAATTTTAATCTCACCCTCATTTAAACTTTATATAAACAAACTCATACTCTTAATAAAATCTAAACAGATAATTAGTATTGTTTAGTATTTTAAAATGAATAAAATCATAATCAAATCTTAATATTTTAGATTTTTTATTTGAATTTCGTTTTTATTAAATTAGTTGAAAACCTCAAATTAGGATAATTAAGTCATTTCATATATTAAAAAGTGTATTTTTCAAAACTAAAAAAAACAAGGGTAGTTTTCAAATTAAAAACTCATCAAAGAGTATATTTCCAAAATTACTCATTTATCAAATTTATATTATCTAAACACATATAAGATTCAAATTAATGAAATAAATAAATCCTAATAGAAAAATGTTTCTCATTCATCAAATTTATATTATCCAAACACATATAAGATTCAAATTAATGAAATAAATAAAATCCTATTAGACTATTAGTACATGAAATAGGTTAGGTAAACTAAATTTCCTATAACTGTATGGAATAAGTTACATGAACCCCTATAAAAAGAGAGTTAAAGTAGTCTTTTTTTTCTCATTTACAAACTCATCAAAGCAAACAACATGATAGCAATACGTATGATTTTTATAACTCACAAAATTGCGATATGTGTAATAAAATAATGATAATAAAAAAAACTAACTAATAATGAAAATGAAAATTTATAATGGTCTGAGTCAAAAACAAAATTGAGAAAGAAACAATATAAATAGAAAACTAACAAATTAATTATCAAGCAACTAACTAATATTAAGAAAATATAATGAACCGATATTCTAATTTTAAATAGTTTAATATATTTTCAATATTGTTAGGTAAAAAATTATTAAATAAAGATTTCATCAATTGAAATCTCTTGAATGGAATAATAAAGTTTTGTTGAATTAATTAATCAGTTGATCATATTTAGACATATATAAGTCTTTCTATATTGGATAAAAATAAAAATTAATTCATTTTTTATATCATGAATTCAAAAAAATATCAATTACAATAAAAACGTAAAAAGGTTACCGATCTTATTTTATTTAAATATTTTTATCGGGTTTTTAATATTATTCTGTTTACTTTAAAATGATCAAATTTGGTTTAATACTTTTCCATGATTTTATTACAAAATCTTAAAATAAACCCGCGTATACACGGGTCTTAATCTAATACTATATAAAAGTTGAGGCTATACACCATTGATGGCGTCCACATAGGATTATAAGACGCAATTTTATTGGTCCACATAAGCATCTCAGAGATTAAGAAAGTTTCCAAATTTTAAACTACTAATAGTATTATTCCACATAATCATATAAGATTAAGAAAGTTTCCAAATTTTAAACAACCAATAGTATTAATCTATATCATCATATCAATTTCGCTATATTTGTTAAATTAGTTAATTTCTTTCTTATGTTTCAAGAATATTAAATTAGTATAAACTGTTTAAACTAGAAACTCCCAAATCTAAAGTGATTAAATGTTTTTTTAATAAATATGTTTTTAATATAAATTTTGAGGCTAAATGCATATAATAGTGTCCACATCTAATACTAATAAATCAGGAGTCACCTCATGGCTTATCTAATCGACACGTGTCATTGGAATTTTTTAATTGTTTTTTTCAAAATTTTCTTTTTTTTTCTCTGTTATTTCCCTAAAAAAGATTTTTATTTTCCACGATCTCGAAAACCGCATTATCCCCCACGATCTTCAAATTCAGAAATCCACTTTTACGATAAATCTCTGATTAAAACGTTTCCGATTATCTCATACTCATAACTTCCTCTTCTTCGAATTTTACATTTGCGGTTTCCAACAATCAAATTCATATCTTAAAATCAACTTTCTGATTGAGCAAAGAGAATGCTACTGCCGTGGAGGAAATGAACATGTGGCGCCGGCCAGCGAGAAGATCCGGATCTAGCTTTTTTATTGGTTGTTTTCTCGCTTTTATCGTGCCAGATTCTGTTCTGATTCTGAGATTAGAGATTGATTGATTTTGTTGTTGTTTATGATAAAGGATGCTATCGTTGAAGGAGGGAACGCCAATCTGCGATTCAGAAGTTCATCAAGGAGAAGCATAAGGAGCTCTCTCCTACATTCAGGAAGCTGTTGTATAGAGAAATTTACCAGAAATAAGATTTGGGGATTCAATTGGATGTCAAGGTACGGATCTCACTCTTTCTCACCTCTCTGGTTTTCGGATCATTAACCTTGTGTTTAATTTTACAACAAATAAACTATGCAGACTCTGTTTCTCATCGCACCTTGAAGCGAAGAAGCATCTTTTTGTTATGGTTCAAAAGATCTTCTATATGTTGGTTTACCCACATGCTGAAATTCTTCAAGTTATTATTTGGGTTCAAGTTGTTTTTCTTTTTTTTTCGATTCTCTACTCTACTTTTCCAGTTAGATGACATGCATAACACAATTTCCTAAGGTTTCATATCATATCTGTTTTATTGTGGTTAATAATATTTTTCAGAAATTGCAGTTTTTAAGGTTTCATTTGATGAATGATTCTTGCCGTATGTTTATGTGTGATAGGATTATATACCGACTGTGCTCGACAATTTCAGTGCCAATGTCGCTGTGGACGGCCAAATCTTGAATTTTGGGCTATGGGACACTGCAGGTATAAACCAAAATTCTGTAACTTAATTCTGAAACCATTGAGCCAAAGGATTGAAATTTATGATTCATTTGCAGAAATTATTAACTCTCCTTGGTTTCGTTGTTTTTGATTGGTGTTCTTTAGGACAAGAAGATTACAGACAGAGGAGCTAATATTTTTGTCTTAGCAAAGCGAGTTACGAAAATGTACTAAAGAAGGTTAAATGTTATAAAATTTCTCCTTGCATTCGAGTAGATTTAGCTGATTGTTTATGTGTATTGAATTGTATATTCGTATTGTTGTTTTTCCTGACAGTGGTTGCCTGAATCGTATTGTTTATATATGTATTGAATCGTATTGTGGTTCTCTGAATTTGAGCACCGATACTAAAAGTTGAAAATAGTTTTTATATGTATTGAATCGTATTGTGGTTCTCTGAATTCGTATTGTTGTCATATTTTCTTATTTCTGTTATGACTTCAATATACAGTATTATAATGATGGTTAAATAGTTGTTAAAAAAAAAGTGTCTATGACCGTGCATGGGTCAAAATACTAGTAAGATTATAAAATGCATCTTATTGGTCCACATAAACATCTTAATAATTAATTTTTTTCCCAATTTTAAACAACCAATAGTATTAATCTATATCATCATCTCATTTTTTTCAAATTTTAAACAGCCAATAATATTAATCTATATGTCATCTAAAATTAGCTATATTTTTAAAATTAGTTAACTTCTTTTATGTTTCAAGAAAATTAATTAATAGAACCGGTTTAAATTAGAAACTCCACAAGTCCAACGTAATTAAATTAAGATTTTTAAAATTATAAAAAATATAATTTACTAAATTTTAAAAATTATATAAAAACATTTGTATAACTAAAATATTAGTTATAAAGAATTAAATAAACCTTAAGGTGAACTATCTTTGACCAAACTTAAGTTTTTACAAATAAAGAGTAGGTTACACCATAATAACTGAAGAATTGTTCTAAGCAAACAAAGCCAACATTGCAAAAGAGTCGATCTCAACATTACATAATCTATGAATAAAAAAATGGAGATAGAAACAAAAATGTAATGTCGTATAGAAGACATATGAGTTCATTTGCAGTTTTTTTAGGTGATGAGAGAGATCAAGCTTTGGGAGCTAAAACAAAAAATCAAGAAAACAATAGCATACTATATAATATTTAGTTCATCGTAGCTTCAAAAAAATGGTCGAAAAAGTAAATAGTTTGTTTGGATTACTATGGAGCAGAAGAATTCAAAGGAGATTTAATAGTGCAACCCATACAACAAATTTTCGAGAAAGCATTCCACCCTACATCAACAAAATAAGAGTTCGTATTCGGGAGGATAATGGAGGTCAGACGAGAGAGGAAAGAAGAGGTTGATGTCTGGCATCCTTCACATCCTTTAAGAAGATTTCATCTCCATGTAAATAACGATTTTCAAATAAGAGAAAATCACAACCTTCCAAAAATGGCAAAATATATAAGGATAAAGAGATATAGGCAATAAACCTATTAGGGGTAGAATAATCAGTTTTTCTACATCTTCAAAGAGTTCCTGAAAAAGGTGTGAGTTTGCCATAAGTTTATTGAGAAGCAGCTTGATCCAAGACTCATACTGTAGAAAGACATATGAAGAAGATATGGAGACTGTTTCTTTGATGATCACAATGATTGCAGGAGGTGTATCAATTCCATGAGCAGCCAGAGTTTGATCGGTCAAGACAAAGCTTTTGCCATCAAATTCAAGAGGAAATATTTCATTTTTGGTGTAGTATAAACTTGCCAAATATGATTACTCGATTTGATTAGAAACATGATATGAGGTGAGTTAATAACCATTTTTGCAATTAAATAAACACTAACTGAATTTTGCAATTTCTAAACAAATATGTAACTAACAAATTTTTTGAACAAGAATGTATTTATAAACAGATTTAAGGCGGAAATATTCAAGTAAACATTAATATAAAACTACTTCTAAAAAGAAATGTATACCATAACGCATAAAAAATGTGACAAAATTACTAACAAAAAATCAACATTGAACAAACAATGATTTAAGATTTTCTTTAAGCCATAAAAAAGAATATACATAATTTATATTATATAAAAGCTAAATATATACTATTATGATCAAAGTTTATAAACTAATAACACGATGTGTAAGTTAAATGTACTGAAAAATAAATTATATGTTGTTTATAGCATTTTAAGTTCTAACATAACGAATTGAAGTTATTTTAAATAAACATCGTGTTACATACAAATACTGTTGACATCTAATTTTAAGAATTTCACTATACATATTTAAAAATATATTTCTGTTTAGAAAATGATTAACACGTCACAATAGTTCATAAATTAACATTACATTTTACAATATATATATATTACTAATAAAGTTTTCCTATTATAATGATTTGAATATCTTCAAGTAAGTTTTGGTCATTAGACATACACAAACATTTTTGTTACCGGGATATGATCTAAACAATATTTTTGTATGTCAAGATTTGATCTCAACACGATATTATATATCTAAAAACTTTTGTTTTCAGAGAATTTTGGTATTGAAATATTATTAAATTTTAATTGTTGATTTTTGCAGTTTAAAAAAAATTTTTAAAATATATTTTAAACCGATTTAAGATACAGACCCGCGCGTGCGCGGGTGAAAGTCCTCATTTAAAATAAGATTCAATTAGAAAAAGAAAAAAACAAAATCAGTCTTTTTATTTTTTACCAACAACGACGGCGGCTCCGTTTCTTCTTCCTCACCGTTTCTGTAATTGATGAAGGTGGTGGTGATGATGAATCGACGGCGTCAAATCTCATGCCTCCTCATGATTTTTGTTGTCGCTAACTCCATCACCGGAAGCAGATTCTCCTTCACCACCACCCCCTCCTCCTCGTAAACTAGAATCTCCCTTGGCTTCATCATCTTATTCTCATCTCCTAAACCAGCACATGCTTCTACTCCGTTTAATAATAATTTCGATGATTCTAAGCAGAAAAGAGAGTATTTTCCTCTCTAGCGCCGGAATTGGCAACCAGAAACAAGCCGGAATATGGTGAGAGCAAGGCTTAAGATTGGAAAGATATATGGATCCTCTGATGGATCTGAAAGACTGAATGTCGGCAAAGGATACAAAAGTACTGCGTATGTCAATTGTGCTTGTCATATTCTGAATTTGGCGATACTGCATTACTGTTGCAGCAGCTAGAAGCGTAAAAGACAAGAAACTAGAGTTCACAAACCCTAAGCTTAATTGTCGAGCCTTGAGAGAACGATGAGTTCGAACAAGAGCTTTGAGAAAATATTCTCTTTATTATAATTCCAAAAACTGAATGATACAAAGAACAAAGCAAAGTACTTATAGAAAAGAAAACCCTCGACTAACTTGGAGATCAATTAATCTCTAGCCGACTAAAACACCAAAGCAAAACCAAAGCCCAAAGAAACATAATAGAAAAGCCTAATAAAGAAATGGAAATGATGGAGAAGATAGATGTCGCTACATCAGGTCGCCCCGGGTAAAAGAAAATTCGACCCCGAATTTTCATCATCGTCGGCAGCAACATAAGGGACCAAATGCTTCACATTGAAAACGTCAGCGGTGTTCATGTGAGGAGGAAGACGCAGGCGATAGGCATTGTTGTTAATCTTCTGAAGGACTTCAAGAGGACCAATCTTTCTTGCTTTCAACTTGTTGTAAGTATTAGGCGGGAAACGGTCCTTAGTGAGGACGGCCCATACTTTGTCACCGACCTGGAACTGTAAATCACGACGGCGAACATCAACTGCAGCTTTGTACTTGGCGGTAGAAGCCTCAATATGAGTTTGAACCTGTTTATGCACAGCAGCAAAATCATCGATCAAGTCACAAGCACGAGCGTGAGAACGAGTTCTATCCGGAGCAATGTTCAAGTCGATAGGACCACGAGGAACATAACCATAGATCACACGAAATGGACTAAACCCAGTGCTACGATTGACAGCATGGTTATGAGCAAATTCAGCTTGACACAAAACAGAATCCCAAGAGCGGATGTTATCTCCCACCAAACAACGCAAGAGATCACCAAGAGCCCGATTGGTCACTTCCGTTTGGCCATCCGTTTGGGGGTGATAGGCGGAGCTCATGTCCAAGCTAGTACGCAACAAACGCCATAATGAACGCCAGAAGTGGCTCAAAAAGCGGGAGTCACGGTCCGAAACAATCGAGAGAGGGAGGCCGTGAAGCTTGTAAATCTCTCGAAAGAATAATATAGCGACTTGAACTGCATCTGTTGTCTTTCTGCATGGGATAAAATGGACCATCTTAGAGAATCTATCAACCACCACAAAGATGGAATCGTGGCCACGTTGAGTTCTCGGAAGACCCAAGACAAAGTCCATACTAATGTCTGTCCAAGGTTGAGAAGGGATTGGTAGAGGTAAATACAAACCAGCGTTGGAGGCATGACCTTTAGAAGCTTGACAGATTCCACAGCGAACAATAAATCTTTCCACATCACGTCGAAGCGAGGGCCAAAAGAACGAGGCTGTTACTAATTGTAACGTTCTGTCCCGGCCTATATGACCTTCATTATGGAGCTCGTGAATCACTTGTAACCGCAAACTACACTCGGGAATGCATAGCTGAACTCCTCGGAACAAAAATCCATCCACAATAAGATAACGATCTTCTTGGCCACTTTGAACATCTCTCCAAATCTTACCAAAAAAAGAATCTGTAGGGTAGATGTCTGGTAAGACTGAAAAACCCACGGTCGAGGTATGCATCGTTGTGAGGAGAGTGTGACGACTGCTTAACGCATCGGCAACTCTATTAAGAACACCCGCCTTGTGTTTGATAACAAAGGTAAATTGCTGCAAATAAGCAAACCAAGATGCATGTCGAGAAGAGATCTTATCTTGAGAGCCCATGTGCTTAAGTGCATCATGATCAGTATAGAGCACAAACTCACGATGAAACAAATAATGCCTCCAATGTTTGACAGCTTGAACCACCGCATATAACTCCACATCATACGTACTATAACGAAGCCGCGAGCCTGCCACTTTCTCGCTAAAAAAGGCCACGGGTTTACCTTCTTGGCTCAGGACAGCTCCAATGCCAGATTTTGATGCGTCGCAATGTAACTCAAAAGCAGTGGTGAAACTCGGAAGAATCAAAATGGGAGCCGTTGTGAGCTTAGTCTTGATGGTTTGAAAGGCTTCTTCAGCTGCCGGAGTCCACGTGAAGTGAGAGGTCTTAATACAATCGGTGAGAGGTGCCATGATGCTGCTAAAATGATGAATGAAGCGGCGGTAAAATGATGCAAGGCCGTGAAAGCTCCGTACTTCAGTCACCGTACGTGGAGTTGGCCAAGAACGAATGGCTTCCACTTTAGCCGGATCAACAGAAAGACCGTGTTGGGAAACAATGTAACCCAAGAACAAAACCTGTGATTCTCCAAAAGCACACTTCTGTATTGCACCAAAAAGTTTATCACGTCGCAAGACAAGTAAAACATCACGAAGATGTTGAAGGTGATCAGACATAGAGGAGCTGAAGATGAGTATGTCGTCAAAATACACGACCACAAAACGTCCAATAAAAGGGCGAAGAGCTTGATTCATCACACGCATAAAAGTACTCGGTGCATTAGACAAGCCAAAGGGCATAACAAGCCATTCAAACAAACCTTCACGAGTCTTGAAAGTCGTTTTCCATTCATCTCCCGGGCGGATACGGATTTGATGGTAGCCACTCTTGAGATCTAATTTAGTAAAAATTGTGGCTGATCCAATTTGATCATAGCTCGACTATCAACACACATACACCACGAGCCATCTTTCTTGGGAATGAGGAGCGCCGGGACTGCACAAGGACTAAGGCTTTCACGCAAGTAACCTTTAGATAAAAGTTCCTCTACTTGTCGGCGTAACTCATCGTGTTCTTGTGGCGACATACGGTAATGCGGTCTGTTTGGAAGTGTCGCATTAGTAGCTAGATCAATACAATGCTGGATGTCTCGGAGGGGAGGGAGTCCAGGAGGAAGCTCCGTAGGAAAGACGTCTTGAAACTCGGTAACAATGTCCTGAAATGCTGGAGGGATCGCAAGTGAGGACGCCGGAGTCGTTGGTTTGAGAATAAGGGCCAAACCAGTCTGAGATTCTTCAAGCTCGCCAAGGAAGTCAACTCGATTAACTAGCAGAACAGAGTGCGGAGGAGGCTTGCTCTCAGGCTGAACGGTTATCTGTGGTTCTGTGGTTGGAGCGGATGACTCTTGTGAAGGAAGAAGAGTGATGCGCTTATCTTCAAAACTGAACGTATAAGTGTTAGCAAACCCATCATGAATCGTTCGTCGATCATATTGCCAAGGTCGCCCTAAGAGAATGTGGCCCGCGTCCATGGGAATGACATCACAATAAACCAAATCCTTGTACTTATGTCCGATGGAGAAAGGTACGTGACATCGTCGAGACACACGCAGCTCCGTTGTTGCATTTAACCATGCGAGAGGATACGGTCGAGGGTGAGGTTCAGTGAAGAGAGCCAATTTGTGAGCAGCTTCTTCGGAGATGATGTTGGTGCAGCTACCTGAATCCACGAGGAGACGACAAACTTTTCCCCGAATCGTACAAGTAGTGCGGAAAAGATTTGTGCGTAACCATGATTCTTCGATAGCTTGTGGCATAAGGCAGCTACGTCGGAGAACCAAGACCGTACCAGTATCTCCAGACACGCGTTCTTCAGTTTCGGTTTGTGGTTCGGAGACAATCTCTTCATCATAGACAACCTCATCGGCACCAAAGAGTATGCGTTTGGGGCATGAAGCTTGTCGATGTCCTGTTTCACCACAATTAAAACATTTGAATGTCATAGAGCGAATAGGTCGTTGAGTAGTGCTGGGATTAACACTGTCAGTTGAGGGAGGTAAAGGAGTCTGATCTGGTCGAGAAGAGCTTGGGAAATCAGTCGAGGCAGGCATGCGTAGGCGGGAAGAAGAAGAGCCCCAAGTGGAGGAGGGGCCTCGCAAATTCTGCTCGATAAGCACAGCCCGTTGATGAGCTTCGGAGACAGAGGTGGGATTAAATTGCAGAAGCTGGTTCTGAATTTGCTGCTTCAGACCTCCAATGAATCGTGAAACCGATTGGTACGCTGTTTCATTCAAGTTGTTGCGCGCCAAAAGTGAAAAAAATTCAGAGGCGTAGTCATCCACACTCTTGATACCTTGGCGGAGATTCTGAAACTGAGTGTAGATCGTACGTTCATAGTTGTATGGAAGGAAAGTTCGTCGCATGTGCTTCTTGAGTTTTTCCCATGAGTTAATGCGATTCTTCCCTGAATTAGCACGTTGGACCTTGAGTTGTTGCCACCAAGCTGAAGCTCTGCCCTTGAAACGCGTCGCAACTAGTGAGACACGCATGTCATCGGGAACACTCTTAAAAGTCAAAAGCTCCTTGGTAGTGTTTACCCAGTCGAGAAATTCATCCGCTTGTAAACCCCCAGAAAATTCAGGAAGATCAAGTCGAAAACCTGACTCCCAACGATGATTGTCCCCTCGAGGGGCATCACCAAACGCATCTTGTTGTTGCTGACGTCGTTGAGCATCCACGGCAAACGGGTTTCCATCTTCGTCTTCAGAATCTTCATCAACCGCCGGAGCGTTACGACGTACCGGTCGTGGTTGAGCTCCGATCGCTGCTCGAAGAGCAGTTTCAAGAGAACTGGTCAGGGATTGACGGAGCTCTTCTTGAAATTCGGACATGACCTCGCGGAGATCATGGATGTGCTCAGCACGTTGTTGTTGAGGAGCCATGGGAACGTTGCTGGCTCTGATACGAACTGTTGCAGCAGCTAGAAGCGTAAAAGACAAGAAACTAGAGTTCACAAACCCTAAGCTTAATTGTCGAGCCTTGAGAGAACGATGAGTTCGAACAAGAGCTTTGAGAAAATATTCTCTTTATTATAATTCCAAAAACTGAATGATACAAAGAATAAAGCAAAGTACTTATAGAAAAGAAAACCCTCGACTAACTTGGAGATCAATTAATCTCTAGCCGACTAAAACACCAAAGCAAAACCAAAGCCCAAAGAAACATAATAGAAAAGCCTAATAAAGAAATGGAAATGATGGAGAAGATAGATGTCGCTACATCAATTACTTTTGCAGTGCATGTCGGCATCGTGGCTGGTTCCAATGTTCGATGCGGCTAACGTAGGGGATCTTTGTCATCACGATGTTTGTTCGAAGCATGTCAAGTCATTACTTGTCGCGAGGAGATTGCAGATGGTGACTTCAGCTGGTGGTCATTCTTATCTAGGTACTATGTGGTCATAATCTTGTATTGTTGTGTGTTTGATTGGTTAGAGAAACTTCTCTCATGCTCTTATCTTGATTTGGGTCTAAAGAGTTATGTAATCTTTAATAATTATATGTTTTGGATTTGACTGATTTGGTTTGTGGTGTGTGAAATCGATTCGTATGATAAATTTGTGTTGTTGGTATAACTCTGAACAACTTATAAGTAGAAGTTTTTTTTAAAGAAAATAATACTAGGTTCAACTACTAGTATTACTAGGTTCAACTATGTATTACTAGGTTCAATATTAACTAAAATTATTTGAATTTGCAGGATAAAGATGTGATACCAACCAATACAACAAGAGATTTTTTTTGCTCTTCTTTTTGTTGTTAAACAGAACATATAATTCTTATAATAGGTTATGTGTAAATCAAAGCAAAAGAAGGAATTGTTTGTCATCACATATGGAGTAGGAGCAATCGTAACAAGAGCTCTTGTTGGTGTTATTGATTTTAATACATCACGTAAGGATTATGGAATAAAGGATATGGTAAAATTATTTTAAAGGTGATAATCAAAAAGTTGCTGCACATATTCAAGAAAAGTCCATGAAATCAATGTGTATTAGTGAGATCAACGTGTAAGTTTCAAGTATGTTAAGGGAAACAATAAGTATTTGCGTGGGATTATAACATATCTACGAAATTATTTTCAATTGTTTATTTCATCGTGTTTCATGGTATTTAGTCTTGTAAATTATTTTGTTCTTTTGGTTTTTTGGTTTGGTGTATTTGGAAAAAAATTATTGTATATATTTTGTTTGATATATTAAGAGTCTAAACCCAATTCAATATAATACTAATGATATTATCTGGTACAACTGAGTTTGTTTAGGTACAACTAAGACAATTTAGTACAATTTTGTTTTAAAATAAATTAAATAGACTGCAAAAAATTGAACAAAAAAAAAATGTGTTTGAAAAAGACGGCGCCGTCACAAAAAAAAATAAAAAATAAAGAAAATAAAAAATCTGACGTGGCGCCGTCAGAAAAAATGTGGTGCCGCCAAAAAAATGTGTCCAAAAACCACATAGTTGTACTCAAGCCAACAGTCGAACCAAAATTGGTAATAGTTGAACATGCGATTTTTGTGTATTTGTAGTTGAACCTTATCATAGCTTATAATGGTGTAGTTGTATAATTGATATTTGATCTTCTTTTGCCATTCTAAACATGTTTATGTCATCATTTATTAAGAATCTATTATTGTTCTTATTTTGCTTCATAACATGGATATATTACCTATATGTTCCATATATTGTAAAGGGTACTTGATGACTAAACCATAATTTATTCTCATAATTTTGTAATTCCAATTTCTTGATATTATTTATTAATTTCTAAGACATGAATATGTGTTTATCTTACTTAATTGTTTGAATTGCATATGAGAAACTTATTTATTTATTATTACTTGTTTTTATAGTTTTAGAATCGAGTAGTCGAACCAATGTGAACCAATTGTACGAAATGAATGAGAAACCAAAATACGTCCACATTCGTCCACATTCGTACACGAAATAAATATTTGGAAATACCAACCTATTACCGTCAACATTTGTACGTACTTGAACCTGGTAGAACCTGAACATTTATACAATTTCATGACGTCAACATTTGTACGTACTTGAACATAGTAGAACCATGTTTTAAAAGTTAAACATAGTTCAAACAACATAGTTCATATATTCAATAAGGAATATAAGTAAAAATAAATAGAAACACACAAACAAATGGTTCTTAAGTATACCTAATTTAATCTAGTAGCACAAAAACCGACAAATACAAACCCATAATTATTTAAGTTAGACCAAGATTAATCTAGTAGTGGAAAATCGATAAATGCAAATCCAAAAAAATACAAATACACACAAGAATCAAAAACTCTTATATCACGACAAAATAACATAAATGTGTTATGAATACTAAATTTACATCACTTACAAAAATTAAACTAAAATGTATTTTTTTTGTTTGAGAGTATCTCCTTTTCTTGCAGATGAACCAGATTTGAGGTCAAATCCTTTTCAAGAGGGAGGGGATGATGCGATCATGGATGAGGAGGTTCAGAAAAAGCAGCTTTTGGCCGAGGAGGAAGATGGAATGGAGCAGCTTGTAGCCGCGGAGGGACTTGAAGCCGCGCAGCTTGTACCTGAGGAGATCAAAGCCATTCCAACTGTCCCAGTGACCCGTTCACAAACTAAGGCACTAAACCAAGTGATTGGCAAAGTCCTTAGCTGTTTGAGTCAGCAAGAAACCAAACCTACTACCCTAGTTTGTTTGGAAGCCTTACATGTGGAATAAAGAGACAAGTGTGTTTGGTGTGCTCTTTTTCCCTTGTCAAGTTTTGTCCCTTTGGGTTTTCTTGACAAGGTTTTTAACGAGGCCCATAGCACACTTTCGAACCTCTCTTTTCCATATGTTAAGGTCCGGCCCAAGAGAGATTCAAATGGAGCGCCAAGGCAACCGAAGGGTCGTTTTTCAGTCTTAGTTACATTTATGTTTTTGTGATTTCTCGAGATGTTTGGAGCTTGTTCCAACATCTCTCTCTCTCTCTCTTCCCTCTGTCTCTCGTTCCTTTATAACTGAAACCCTAGTCTCTCTTTGAAGGGGATCAAATAATCTTTTACCAAAAACCTCTCTTTTGTTTGATCACTTGTTCTGTCCACTTGTTGTGCGTAATATCAACTAAGTCCACAGAATTTCCCTTTCACTTGTTGTGCGTAATATCAACAAGTCGAAGGTGGTGTTAGAGTTCCTTTTCCGCGGGTTCTCTAGTATAGCCACTCGATCCATTTACCATTTCCATTCAACTCTCATCCATCTTTGGATCCTTGTGTTCCAATCCGCTCAATCACTCATCATCGGTTCCTTTTGTGATCCGATCCACTCTATCACTTACCTTCAATAACGATCTACGCCAGGGGCGCATCACAACTCGTCCCTAAACTCGATCGAGCTGGTACTTTGCTCTAGCTCGACTCGAGCTCTTGGTCGAGCTGACACTCCACTGCTTCCTTTGCTTTTATTGCACTGCTTTTCTTTATTTTTAGGTTGTTAGTGTTACTTCAATCTCTTACTGCTTGCTTGACTTTCTGGTTGTTTCTTATTCTCATAGAGTGACAAGATTTCCCATTTTGGATTGATAACCCTTTGTACTACATCAACTATCATGGTTAAAGGGAATTGTTGACTGTGTTTGTGTTTGCATCTTACCACCATCATATACCACTGATTCCATTCCACTCATCTCATTTCATTTCTTTTCACATCCACACACAAAACCTTATCATCAGGTATCCCATTTTCTTAATGAAATGGCTAAAATAGTTAGAATTTCCATTCTCGAATGTCGAAAAAAAGGATTTTTTTTTCATCCATAATATTTAAGAAGATTTTCTTCAAAATAGCTTTTTGATTAGTTGGACACATTTTTCAGCTCTTTCACCTCCGAGAGTGTGAGGAGATTGTTGGAGGAGCGTATGGAGTTGGAGAAATATGCTTTGGATGTGCATAAAAGCTTTGTTAAAGAGCATTTGATCAAGGTTAATACCAATTTCTTACGCATGAAATAAGAAGATAACTGAACTTACATTCTCTGTTATGTCACATATGTTCTTTGATGGAACTATTGGACTTCTGAATTCTGATGCTGCTACCTGAGAGCACTTATGTTGTTTCCCTTATTGATATCAATGCTTAAAATATTTTGGTACCGATGCGGCTTCGGAAATTCTGAAGAGCTTGTGGCAAAGAACGGTGAAAGGGAAGAAACTGTTGGTGACATGAGAAAACGAATGGTTCCCCTGCGAGGATATCCAAAACGGTAGCTGAAGATACGAACGATGAGGTGAATCAAGAAGCCCTGATGAGTGATATTGAGAGAGCTCTCCGTAAAAGAGCTTCTTAGATGAAGGATTCTGCAGAGTAAGTTAATGAATGATTTGTAGTTTAGGGAATTTCAGTGAAAAGTTTTCTCTGAAATGATCGTTTTCTGTTTTAGTAATCGATTATTATTTTTTACTTCAGGATACATACAATGTTATCCCTTCCTCGAGTTTTGGAGCAAGATCTTAATTTGTGGAGGGAGTTTCTTGATCCATTCAAAAAGTTCATTAGCAAAGAATTAGATGAGGTGAAGTAATTTATGCTAAATTATGTATACCTGTTGAGTATTAGTGAAAGGCAATGATTTTATGGATGACAAGGAAGTGGCTGTGGAGAAGACTGAGACCCGAAGAAGCAAAAACGAGAATGGCGAACCAGTATCGGGGAAGAAGAAAGGAAAACATATAGAAACAGATTCAGAGAGTGACAGTGATGCAGGAGATGATAGTGAGATGATGAAAGCTAATGGTCATTCTCAAAAGCCATTGAAGGTATGTTGTCTTGGTTTATGATTAAAACCTTGTGAGATTTACCCATTTGGTTTCATCAGATGAAGGAGGCTGCAACTTCTGTGAATGGAAAGCGTGTTGAGCATCTCAAATCAGTCATCAAATATTGTGGGATCAAACTTTGCGTCTTAATCAAACTTTTGGTAGATCTAAGAAAAAATCTCTATGTTTGGTTCATTATTATTGTTGTTTTTGGAAGTGTTCCTCCTGCAATTTACAGGAAAGTCAAGAAGGCCCCTGAAGAGAAACGTGAGGATACTTTAATAGAAGAACTTGAGCAGATACTTGCCAAAGAAGGTCTCTCTTCAGATCCTTCAGAGAAAGGTAGTTTTTTAGACGATTTTTAGTTAAACTTTCGAAGATGGTAAACGTGAATAAGCATGCTGATGTTTATGGTCTGTGGAAAGCTTAGATGGAGTAGTTAGTTAATGTGTAAAACATATTGTGAAATGTGAACAAACTATCTGGCTTTACTCTTCGCAGAGATCAAAGAAGTAAAGAAAAACAAAGATATATCGAAAGAGCTTGAGGGTATTGATACAAGCAACATTGTATCGAGTACAAGCTTTATTCCTCCAATGCCAAAGATAACAAGCGAGAGTGAGAGTGATGAAGAAGAAGAGTCTGAGAATGGAGAGGATAACGAAGAAGAAGAAGAAGAAGGTAATGAAGAAGCTGAGGAAGGAAGCCAAAACGAAGAAGAATCAAATAATGGTGTGAAATGAATCTCTATCTCTTCTCTAAGTGACCCCATCAAGGTTTTTAATAAAACTAATGATCGTTGGCTTTGTTTGCAGATGATGATGATGATGGTACAGAGGAAAGCAAATGATTTGTATGTAACAGTGTCATATCGTAAGAATTCTATCATCCATTTTAACTTGGTTTAGTATTAGCTGTACTTGAGTAGTGACATTTTGTTCCTTTTTCTCCACTCTTTAACTATCATTATGATTATGTGGAATGGAATTTGAAACCCAAGATGGATATAGAAAAGGATAAACTAAAGTTTAGGATGCATATTCTAAGCATATCAACCAGCTAATATCATATCAAGCTGTAAATTACAATGATTAGTGAGATTCCTAGATTCTATTACATCTAGAGGAATCATATTCTGAATCACTGAATGATCTTTAAACCCATCCACGATCAGAATATGATAAAGAAGAGAGGTGATTGATTGGTAGTTTATTACACATAGAATTTGGATGCAATATGCATCTCATATCAATTGGGTTTTTGTTCTTTTCGAATAAAATCTCCATCCAAAATAAATTGGGAATCTAGACATAGTTGCAAGATCTGTGACATGTATATCTTTAAACCCTGAGACTGATATCAACAACACAAAAACCGGGATTAGTACTTTTTAGAATCTGTAAACCAAAAGTCTCCGAGTAATCGGAAAAGTAGTTAATTTTAAACCATGTTTTAAACACATCGGACACGCATTCATATCTCTCTTCGCCCTGCCGCTCATGGCTGATAACCCCTTCACCAAACCCTAAACTCTTCCGCCTCCTTCTCAATTCCTACGATCCACAGATTCGACAACCTCTCCGCCCTCTCCCATCTTCTGCGCCGCACATCCAACCGGCAACCGTCCCAGTCACTCTCCGCCCGATGTCGGAATCGAAGCCTCTGCAGCTGGTTCGCCTCAAACTCTTTGTAAACAAAGAGAATCTTTACTCACTTTCTTGTCAATTATATTTGGATGATCTTCATGTGTAAGCAGACTAATTGGGTATCCCATTTTCTTAATGAAATGGCTAAAATAGTTAGAATTTCCATTCTCGAATGTCAAAAAAAAGGATTTTTTTTTTCATCCATGATATTTAAGAAGATTTTCTTCAAAATAGCTTTTTGATTAGTTAGACACATTTTTCAGCTCTTTCACCTTCGACAGTATGAGGAGGTTGTTGGAGGAGCGTATGGAGTTGGAGAAATATGCTTTGGATGTGCATAAAAGCTTTGTTAAAGAGCATTTGATCAAGGTTAATACCAATTTCTTATGCATGAAATAAGAAGATAACTGAACTTACATTCTCTGTTATGTCACATATGATCTTTGATGGAACTATTGGACTTCTGAATTCTGATGCTGCTACCTGAAGAGGATGACACCCAAATAGCCGTTTTAGAACTTGTTCTCCTTTCAGAACTTGTTCAAGAGAAGCCACGATTTGCTTGTACTTCTTCCATCATCCGCATCGACGTTATGTCCACTGTCACTGTATCCAATCAGACTTGTCTTCTCCATACGACTATAACAGAGACCAAAAGACAGCGTCCCTCGCAAGTATCGTAGAATCTATTTTAAAGCCGCATCATGTGTTTCTCTGGGATCTTGCATATACCTGCTTAACACACCAACACAATAGGAAAAATCAGGTCGAGTGTGTAGCAAGTATCGAAGACATCCAATGTTTCTTCTGTATGTCTTCTCATCGATCTGTTTCTCTCCTTGTGCTTTAGACATCTTTATGCCTGAATCCATCGGTATGTGAACAGCATTACACTCATCCATTCCTGCTTCTTCAAGAATCTTGTTCGCATATCTTTCTTGTTTTAGAGTGATTCCTTCTTGATGCTGGTTTACCTCAATGCCGAGGTAATACGTTAGTTTCCCAAGATCACTCATCTCGAATTTGCTTGACATCCCTTTCTTGAACTCCAATATGTGACTCAAACTTGATCCTGTGACAAGTAAATCGTCAACATAGACAGCTACCAGAAGGAGATGGCTCCTTCGAACACTTGACAAATCCCAACTCCATGAGGATTTTGTTCAGCTTAGTGTTCCAAGCTCTTGGTGCTTGCTTCAAACCATAGAGTGCCTTGTGTAACTTGTACACTTTGCTCTCACTACCTTCGACTTCAAACCCCTCTGGTTGGCTTACATACACTTCTTCTTTTAACTCCCCATGTAGAAACGCAGTTTTAACGTCTAGGTGATGCACCTCCCAGCCTTTCGATGCAGCCAAAGCAATGATGAATCGAATTGTCTCCATGCGAGCTACTGGTGCAAACACCTCGTCGAAATCAACACCGTGTCTCTGTACATATCCCTTAGCTACCAGCCTGGATTTGTACTTGTTAATGCTCCCGTCTGAGTTTCGTTTGATCTTGAATACCCACTTGAGTCCGATTGCCTTTGCTCCATTGGGTAGATCAACTAAGCTCCATGTCTTGTTCTTTTCTATAGAACAAATTTCTTCTTTACATGCATCTCTCCATACTTTCAGCTCTTTTGCCTCATTGTAGCTCCACGGTTCTTCGTCTAAGCTCGACAACATAAGCTCGCCTTCGAGTTTAGCTAACATGATGTAGTCTTCCAAGTAGCTCGGTTTAGCCTTCACTCGCGTTGACCTACGGAGCTGCTCTTGGACCTGCTCGTCTTCGTTCACGTTCTCTAGAAGAGGAACTCTTGAATCTTCTGAATTCTCATTCTCTTCTGTTTCTTCTTCGCTCTCCCCTGGTTCCTCTTCTAATGGATTCTCTCCTTTCATAGCTTCATCGTCAAACTCATCAAACGTGAAACCAAAAATTTCTGAATTCTCATTGGTTCTTTTCTCCTCTGTTTTCCACTTCCATCTCTTGGTTTCATCGAAAAATACGTCCCTGCTCACAACTATCTTTCGATTGATTGGATCAAATAGCCGATAAGCTTTTGATCCTGGCTCCGTTCCGAGATGCACCACCAATCGTGACCTATCATCCAACTTCTTTAGATGTGGAATTTCAACTTTTGCATAACCAATACATCCAAAAACCCTAAGATGTTCCACGTTTGGCTTCTTGGACTTGAGAACCTCATATGGAGTCTTGTTTATCAAAGCTCTTGTGGGAACTCTGTTCAAGACATATGTGGCGTGTCTTACTGCTTATCCCCATAACCAATTCGGCATACTCATGTGCTTGAGAGTGCTTCTTGTCATCTCTAGTAGTGTTCTATTTCTTCTCTCTACAACCCCATTCTGTTGAGGAGAGTAGGGTGCTGTTAAATGTCTCTTGATCCCACTCTTATCACAGAAATCTTGAAACTCCGTAGACATGAACTCTCCTCCTCTATCAGTCCGAAACGTCTTAATGGTGGCTCCGGTCTCCTGCTCGACAAGAGCTTTAAACCCTTTAAACCTTTCAAACACCTCACTCTTCTCCTTTAACAAGATTGACCACATATACCTTGAGTGATCATCTATCAATACAAATATGTATCTGTTTCGGGCTGGTGTTGGTGGTGTGATTGGACCACACAAGTCTCCGTGTATGAGCTCAAGAACACTACTAGCACGATAAGATGTTGCTTGTGGGAAACTTTTCCTTGCTTGTTTCCCAAGTAAGCACGATGAACATGTTGCTTTATCGAGTGACAATCGTGGTATGCCACTGACTAGTTCCTTGTTTACCATACTCTTCAAAGCTTCTATTCCAATGTGCCCCAACCTGGCATGCCATCTCGTCGAGTCGTTTAGGGCTTCAGCTTGCAAACACTTTGTACTCTCTACCTCCATGAGTACTTTGTACAGTCTGTTTTTCTCTCTGTTTGCTTTTACTAGAAGCTTTCCCTCTCGATCGTGCACGGTCAGGTAATTTTCCTTCATACTCACGTGACATCCTGACTCCGTTGCTTGTCCAAGACTTATGATATTGCTTCTCAAGTCTGGTATGTAGTAGACATCAGTTAAGATCTTCCGTTCACCGTCCTTGTTCGTGAAAAGAATGTAACCTTTTCCTCTTATGTCTACTCTCGAATCATCGCCGAACCTTACTTTGCCGGTGATTGTCTCGTCCATCTTCGTGATCTCCATCCGTATGATCTAAGTACAAGCGGTCATATATTCTATCTCAGTGACTGTCCCATCACTTGGTGTTCTCAGAAGCAAACTACTGTGGCTTTATCTTCTTGCGAAGCAGAGTTCATGGCAGCTACGGAGGCAGCAAAGCAAGCGATCTGGCTTCAGGAACTGCTTGGTGAGATTATAGGAGGATCTTGCGAGAAGGTGTTAATACGAATTGACAACAAGTCTGCCATTTCGTTGACCAAGAATCCAGTTTTCCATGGAAGGAGAAAACACATACATAGAAGGTACCATTTCATTCGAGAATGTGTCGAGAATGAGTTGGTAGAAGTCGAGCATGTTCCAGGAGACAAACAGAAGGCTGACATTTTCACCAAACCACTTGGAAGAATCAAGTTCAAGGAGATGAGAGAGTTAGTAGGGATTCAAGATGTGTCTGAAGAAGGTTTCAAGCTTAAGGGGGAGATTGTTGGAGTAAGCTTGAGGAAAGCTTGAGTCACAAGTTGTTTAGGATTAGGAAAAGAGTCATATTTAGGAGTTATCTAAATATGTAAGTTATCATATTTAGGAGTTATCTAATATGTAAGTTATCCTTTTCCTATTAGGAATGTGCCTAGCTATCTCTCTATATAAGAAGATGTCAAGATGTGACATAGCTTATGAGTCAAGAGAGAGCTTTAGTTTTGAGTTATTTTCTAAAGCAATAATAAAGAGAGGTTTTCTTATTTGGTCTAAGGTTTTGATTCAATAAGCACTTATGTTGTTTCCCTTATTGATATCAGTGCTTAAAAGATTTTGGTACCGATGCGGCTTCGGAAATTCTGAAGAGCTTGTGGCAAAGAACGGTGAAAGGGAAGAAACTGTTGGTGACATGAGAAAACGAATGGTTCCCCTGCGAGGATATCCAAAACGGTAGCTGAAGATACGAACGATGGGGTGAATCAAGAAGCCCTGATGAGTGATATTAAGAGAGCTCTCCGTAAAAGAGCTTCTTAGATGAAGGATTCTGCAGAGTAAGTTAATGAATGATTTGCAGTTTAGGGAATTTCAGTGAAAAGTTTTCTTTGAAATGATCGTTTTCTGTTTTAGTAATCGATTATTATTTTTTACTTCAGGACACTTACAATGTTATCCCTTCCTCGAGTTTTGGAGCAAGATCTTAATTTGTGGTGGAAGTTTCTTGATCCATTCAAAACGTTCATTACCAAAGAATTAGATGAGGTGAAGTAATTTATCCTAAATTATGTATACCTGTTGAGTATTAGTGAGAGGCAATGATTTTATAGTTTTTTATTTGCTAAACAGGTTTTACAAATTCTTGATGCTCCAAACCGTTCGTCTAGGCCTATTGAGAAAAGGGTCGAGAGGATATCATTTAAGGAGCTACGAAGTGACGAAAATTCTGAATCAGATGCTGAGGATGATATGGATGACGAGGAAGTGGCTGTGGAGAAGACTGAGACCCGAAGAAGGAAAAACGAAAATGGCGAACCAGTATCGGGGAAGAAGAAAGGAAAACGTATAGAAACAGATTCAGAGAGTGACAGTGATGCAGGAGATGATAGTGAAATGATGAAAGCTAATGGTCATTCTCAAAAGCCATTGAAGGTATGTTTTCTTGGTTTATGATTAAAACCTTGTGAGATTTACCCATTTGGTTTCATCAGATGAAGGAGGCTGCAACTTCTGTGAATGGAAAGCGTGTTGAGCATCTCAAATCAGTCATCAAATATTGTGGGATCAAACTTTGCGTGTTGATGATAGGTTTTGTGTGTGGATGTGAAAGATATGAAATGAAATGTGGTGGAATGCAACAGTGGTATATGATGAGGTGGTAAGATGCAAACACAAACACAGTCAACAATTCCCTTTAACCATGATAGTCATTATAGCATAAAGGGTATCAATCCAAAATGGGAGAAGTTGTCACTCTATGAGAATATGAAACAACCAGGAAGTCAAGCAAGCAGTAAATGATATGGGGTAACACTAACAACCTAAAAATGAAATGCAATGCAAAAATAGAAAGAAAAAGCAGTAGAGCAACAGCTCGACCAAGGACTCGAGTCGAGTGGAACAGAGTACCGAGCTCGATCGAGTTTAGGGTCGAGTTGAAGTAAAAAGCAATAAAGGCAGCGACTTTAACAAGCTAAACGAGAATTAGGGTCTAAGACAGGGTTTTACAATCAGAGGAAGCTATACTTAATCAATCTTGCTCTCAAACAACTTGTATCAAGGTATCTCTTGATATTGAGCTTCTCAATGCCTAGCTAACCCTTTCCCAAGGTGAAAGCTATCAACCAAGACTTGATCTCAGAAACAGGGGGTTAGCCAGTGAGAATCAAGCCTTGGAGGCCATAGGATCATTGCTCAAACTAATCCATCCAACCCCTATGAACTCCATTTCGAGAGCAAGAGTTATTGGAGCTCTTAGTGGACCTTTTCCAACGATTTCCATCACTTCCATGTGGAGAATCGCCTAAGGACATACAAGCCAGGGGTAGTGGTCATGTAGCCTTAAGGATTGTCCAAAAGAGAGAGATTTCTAGATTAAGAACATAAGCAAGAAGGATTAAGCATAAAATCCCCTAATCTATCCCATCTCAAACCCTAATGGGTAACTACTCACTACACATGAATGTAAACACAAGCAAATGCAATAAAAAGACATCAAATGAAAGAGGAGATAAAATAAACAACTTTTATTGAAATAAGCAAGTGCAAATACAAAAGAGATTATCCAGGATCTAGGATTCAAGAAGCAAGAGCTTCAAGAACACAAAGATGGGATTAGAGCTCTAAAAAGTAAAAGACAATAATTAAAAGAAACTAAAACAAAAGTAATCTAAAGCTTGGTGGTTTTTTCGTGGCTTTTAGCCTTTAAATACAAGAGGATTTAGGTTTAGGGTCAAAGGAAAGTCAAGGGGGAAGCAACATTTTTCGGGTTTGACTTTGACTTCTCAGCTCGATCGAGTTGAAGCTTGGCCGGTCGAGTTGAGGAACTCGACCGGTTGGTCGAGTAGATGGTCGAGCTGGTCTTCAAGATGGCTTCCTCCTTCTTCCTTTGCGTATCCAGTTGAGCTGCGTCCATGCACCAAGTCCTTCCATGCTCCTCACGTCCCATATGCTCCAGAATGCTCCAAAAGACCTATTTCAAAGGACCAAACATGCATATGTATGCAAATGCAACCTAAAACTACTATGAATGCATAAGAAGAGAAAAGGAACAAGATATGATGCTAATGGATGCTAAAACTATGCAAAAGATGCATAAAAGATGTACTAAAACTATGCAAAATGCAAGTACATCAATGATATCACCATATTTTACATGATTTTACTATATATTTACCTATGTTTTCAAACGGTTTTTGCAAGATTCTTTGCCTTTAGAGGTAGTTTTCTTGTATTTGTGGGATTTGAAGTCTTTGTAGGTGAAATAATCAAAAAGGATGCAAAAAGGAGTAAAAGAGCCCTAAATCAAGATCCATGCAAGTTTCCAAGTCAAGAAGATCATTTTATCTCCAAGTGTTAGTTCTCGCTAGCGCGCAGAACGAAGCTTCGGAAGTTTGGCCGCGCGCGGAGGAGTTCCCGACGTCCAAAAGTTACGATCTTGATATGGAAAGATAGATACTTGAGTCATGCATCACGTCGAAGTGGAATGAAGCCATTTGGATCAACTATGAGGCCTAGACTTATTTTCTACCGAGACATGTCCGGTAAGCGAGCAAACGAAGCCCATGGAGGATTTGGAGTGTCTAATGGCCCGAGCAGCAGCGCCAAAGGCCTTGATCGAATAGAGAAGAGGCCTGGCTAATGTTTGGAGCTTTCTTGGTAGCAATGTCGGCCCATACACGACGTGGAGAAGAAGGCTCGGCGCATGAGAAACTTTCCTTTTTCAGCATGAAGAAAACCCTACTCGATCTCGCCCATATATACATGTTTTTAGCCGCTGAGCGCGAGAGTCGAGAGTGTCAAGGTGTGCGCCGTCAGAAAGAAGAGGAATACCCCCAAGAAGGAAGAAGTGAAGCCTCCTCGGATCCAAGCCGCACACACGAACACACAAAAATCGTTACATCTTTGTTCTTGTTACTTTTATTTTCCGGATTTTGGAGTTAAAAGGAAGGATTCGATCTTTTCATCAATAGAGAAGCTTTCTCATCCCTTTTTCTCTTTAATATTCGCATGATGCTTTCATTCAAATCTTGTTTGTTTGCTTGCACCATGGCCGAGTAAATCCCTTACTAGGCCGTGGTGGATCAATGAGTGCATAAACCTAAAATGAGAGTCTTGTGAATTGGAATAACCTTTGAGTTCTTCACCTTTACTTGAGCATAATGCCGTTTGCTTTTCTGATCATCTAGCATCGGATCTTAGGTTAATATACTCTCCAAAAGCTTGTTATATTGCCGGAACTAGTATTTGGTGAGCGATAGTTCACGGCCAACGAAAGTTGAGTTGTGGAGTATTGTGAACAATTAAATCTTGAACATCTTTAATGCATGTTTACAACTTTTAATAACCAACGAAAGCTGAGTCTATTAGGTTGTTTAAACATAGTAGTTGGAGCCACGAAAGTGGAAAAACTATATCTTAGTGATTTAAGTTCAAGAACGGTCTATAATGAATCTCTTTCACTTGACTTCTTTGTTAAGTTTGTTGCATCTCGGCGATCTACCATTGTCTAGTGTTTCCCCTTATTGATCTCATTTCCATCTATTCATTATTGTCAAAACATTCTCAAACCATATTTTGCTTTAGCTTGCTTCAACTCTTACTCTTGTAGCACAATCGATAGGTCCTTGTGGATTCGATCCCATACTATACTTACCTCGTTGCTGTGCACTTGCAGGTACTTAAGTTGGGTAAAACTTGAAGACAAACCCAGCTTGCATCAAGTTTTTGGCGCCGTTGCCGGGGACCTTCTTGTCTACAAGATCGGACGAGAATCTAGACTAAAGCGCATTTTACTCTTTATTATTTTGTTCTTTTTGTAGGCACAACTTGAGCGTGCCATGGCTGGAGAAGTACGTGACCAGCAACCAAATCCTTGGAGGAACCATCTTGATGAGCCGCCTTTGGACGAGGTCCAAGACCGCATACCACGAGAAGGCCTTGGACCGGAGCTTAACCGAGCCGATGGGCTACACCGAGGAGACTTAGGCGATCACCAAGGAGGGGAGAACCAAGAGACCGTTGGAGACAGTGACTCTAGACCAGAGCTTCTCCAAAGCCGTAGCCCTATCCGGACTTACGAGGGCCACCAGTTTGAGATCAAGCCGCGAGTCATCGCTTTGGTAAAACAAAGTCAATACCACGGGCTTATTGAAGAAGATCCGTTGGATCATGTCGATTCTTTTGAAGAATTGTGCAGCACAACTAGTGCAAATGGAGTTCCGGGCGACTACTTGAGATGCCGGCTCTTTACTTTTACCTTGGCGGGAAAAGCACTCAAGTGGCTCAAGTCTCTCCCGTCTCGCTCAATCACTACATGGATGGAGTTCAAGAAAGCTTTTCTTGGTCAGTTTTATACAAAGCAGCGGACTAGTTTGATGAGGAGCAAGATCGTTGGCTTTCAGCAAGGGCCAATAGAGCCGTATCATGAGGGATTGGAGCGCTTCAAGGAATACATAAGAGATTGCCCACAACATGGCTTCTCGGAAGTAAACTTGTGGAACACGTTTTATGAGGGAATAAGGCGCGAGCACAAGCTGTATCTTGATATAGCTAGCAACGGGAACTTCATGAGTAAGTCCATAGAGGAAGCCAAAACATTGATTGACAACTTAGCGGTCAGTGACAGCAAGAATCAACCGAGCTATGAAGAAACGATCAAGGCAATCAACGCGAGACCGGGACTAGTTGAGTTTGAGGAGCTGAAGTCCATGATCGCTAAGCTTTTGGAAAGAGAACCGGAGCATCGCTTGAGCCCCCATGAGAGCAAGATACAACAGACCAAGGTCGATGAGAGGGAAGTGCTCTACATAAGCAAGCAAGAGATACAACATCCGGCTGAAACCCGACTTGGCGCTAAGGACCATGGAGGAGAGCTTAAGGCTTTGATCTATGAGTTCATTGGTGAACAGAGAAGAGCGAACAAGGAGATCAACGAGAAGATACACTATGTGTATCACGACTTAAACAATAAATTTGGGTCGCTGGAGTCGCACATCAAGGAGCTTGATCTTCAAATAGCAAACATAGCCGGTACAATCAAGAAACCGCTTGGAGTCCTCCCTGGTCGAACTGAGGCTAACCCCAAGAAGGAACATATAGCGGCCATCACTCTTAGGAGCGGTACGCAGTTAGACGAAGTGGAGATGCCACCGGAGCTCATGAGGAAAGAACCTCAACCGGAGGTAATATTGGAAAGCGTGGAAGAAGCGGCTGGCGAGCAAACAAAGACAACTCTTGAGGAGAGCGCCGCGCCAACAACACCTACTCTGCGCGTATATAAGCCAAAAGTGCCCTACCCCGGATCAGTGAAGAAGCCCAAGAAAGAGAAAGAGCAGCAAAGTTGAAGGACCTTGTGAGCCAACTAAGCGTAAGGCTCCCTTTTGTCGATGCTTGCATGATTATTCCATCATTGAGGAAGTATATGAAGAGCATACTCACTAGCAACTTGAGTCTAGAAGAGGGAGTGATGTTGATAACAGAAGATTGTAGCCTAGCCCTCCAAAACAAAACCCCGGAGAAGCTTGACGACCCGGGGAGCTTTGTTCTCTCATGCCAAATCGGAGGTACGATCTTTAAACGCTGCCTTTGTGACTTAGGGTCTAGCGTGAATCTTATGCCCTATACAGTGGCCAAGCGCCTTGGCATAACAAGCTTTAGACCCACAAAGATTCAGTTGGTCTTTGCTGATCGATCGGTGAGGCGGCCCATTGGCATCGTGAGTGATGTACAAGTCATGATTGGTAAATGTTTCATACCGGCTGACTTTGTGGTGCTGGAACTAGACCAAGAACCAAGAGATCCCCTGATCTTAGGGCGACCTTTCTTAGCCACAGCCGGCGCCATTATTGATGTCAAGGGAGGAAAGATAGACTTACACTTGGGAGACTTGGTAATGAAGTTTCAAATTGACAAAACTTTGGAAAAGCCAACTATCGACGGGTTCTCTTTCTTGGTGGACAATTTAAGTGAGGTGTCTGAAGGAGTGTATGAGGAGCTGATAATGGACGACCCCTTAGAAGTGGCACTAACCCGTGTGGAGAAAGAAGGAGGCTATTTTAGTAGAGAAGCGCGAGACATAGCCAAGTCACTCGATAACGCGGAGACTTACAAGAACTTAGTAGCTTATGTTGGCTTGGAGAAGAAGTAATGGGCACAAACGCCTCAAGGGATGCATCCAAGCCATCAAAGGAGCCATGGAGTGAGTTGAGCGCTCCAAAGTCGAGCTCAAGGAGCTCCCCGTAGGGCTAAGGTACGCATTTCTCGGTCCCAACAATACATACCCGGTGATAATCAATTCAAATCTATCAAATGTAGAGACCGCGCTATTACTTTGTGAACTAAGAAAACACCGCAAGGCCCTTGGGTACACCCTTGAGGATATAACCGGTATTTCCCCAGAACTTTGTATGCACAGGATACATCTCGAGGATGAGTCTAAGTCCTCCATAGAGCATCAAAGGAGACTAAATCCAAACCTGAAAGATGTGGTGAAGAAGGAGATAATGAAACTCTTGGAAGCTGGAGTGATATACCCTATCTCGGACAGTACATGGGTGAGCCCGGTCCACGTAGTTCCAAAGAAAGGAGGAGTGACGGTCATAAGGAACGAGAATGAAGAGCTCATACCCACCAGAACGATCACTGGCCACCGGATGTGTATCGACTATCGTAAACTCAATGCCGCGACCAGAAAAGACCATTTTCCCTTACCTTTTATAGATCAAATGCTTGAAAGGCTTGCTAACCATCCTTACTATTGTTTCTTAGATGGTTACTCAGGTTTTTTCCAAATCCCAATCCATCCCGACGACCAAGAGAAGACAACATTCACATGTCCATATGGAACGTTCGCGTATAGGCGAATGCCTTTTGGCTTGTGTAATGCACCGGCTACGTTTCAAAGATGCATGATGTCAATCTTCACGGACTACATAGAAGACATAATGGAGGTATTCATGGATGATTTCTCAGTTTATGGCACATCCTTTGATGCTTGTTTGTCAAATCTTAGCAAGGTCCTCAAGAGATGTGAAGAGAAGCATCTAGTGCTAAATTGGGAAAGTGCCATTTCATGGTGAGAGATGGGATCGTGCTCGGTCATAGAATCTCGGAGAGAGGCATTGAGGTTGACAAAGCCAAGATCGAGGTAATGGTGAACTTGGAACCGCCCAAGAACGTCAAAGGAGTAAGAAGCTTCCTAGGGCACGCGGGATTTTATAGGAGGTTCATAAAAGACTTCTCCAAGATAGCGCGCCCTCTCACTCAGTTACTTTGCAAAGAAGTGGCGTTTGAATTCAGTGGAGAATGCCTCGCGGCGTTCAAGAAAATCAAAGAGGCTCTCATTAGCGCGCCGATCGTACAATCACCGGATTGGGAGCTTCCTTTTGAGATTATGTGCGACGCAAGCGACTACGCCGTTGGAGCTGTGCTAGGCCAAAGGAAAGAGAAGAAACTCCACGTCATATACTATGCAAGCCGGACCCTCGACGAAGCACAATGCAACTATGCCACCACGGAGAAGGAGTTATTGGCGATTGTCTTTGCATTCGAGAAGTTTCGCTCATATCTCGTTGGCTCCAAGGTTATAGTGCATACCGATCACGCGGCTCTCAAGTATCTGCTGTCAAAGAAAGATGCAAAGCCAAGACTTATACGCTGGATACTTCTTTTGCAAGAATTTGACCTAAAGATCATCGATAGGAAAGGCGCGGAGAATGGCGTGGCCGACCATCTTTCAAGAATGAGAATCGAAGAGAGCATACCTATAGATGACTCATTACCAGAGGAAACGGTCTATGCGGTCAGCGCAGTACCTATGTCGAGGAAAGAGACCCACCAAAGAGCCACGGAGAGGAGAAATGCCTTTGGCGCGCCTTGGTATCGTCATATAGCCAACTATCTCGCGGCCGACATAGAGCCTCCAAACTTCTATGGATACAAGAAGAAGAAATTCTTGAAAGACATCAGATTTTACTTCTGGGACGAGCCATACCTCTACAAGAAGTGCCAAGACGGATTGTTTAGAAAATGCGTGCCGGAGGAAGAGATAGCCGGGATTCTCCATGGATGTCACGGATCAGCTTACGCAGGTCATTTTGCTACGTTCAAGACAGTCTCTAAGGTCTTGCAAGCGGGTTTTTGGTGGCCTACAATGTTTAAAGACGCTCAAGCATTCATCTCACGTTGTGATGCTTGCCAAAGAATGGGGAACATAAGCAAAAGGAATGAAATGCCGCAAAACTTTATCTTGGAAGTTGAGGTGTTCGATGTTTGGGGAATTGATTTCATGGGACCCTTCCCCACATCCTTTGGAGATCAATACATCCTAGTAGCAGTGGACTATGTCTCCAAGTGGGTTGAGGCAATAGCAGCTCCAACAAATGACTCGAGCGTGGTGATAAAAATGTTCAAATCTATCATATTCCCAAGATTTGGAGTTCCAAGAGTTGTGATAAGTGATGGAGGCTCACACTTCATCAATCGGATCTTTGCAAACCTTCTAAAGAAATATGGAGTGCGGCACAAGGTAGCAAGCCCTTATCATCCACAAACAAGCGGCCAAGTGGAGATTTCAAACAGGGAATTGAAGAGCATCCTACAAAAGACAACCGGGAAAAATAGAAAGGATTGGTCAGCCAAGCTAGATGACGCTCTTTGGGCGTATAGAACGCTTTCAAAACACCTCTCGGGACAACTCCATTTCATCTTGTCTATGGCAAAGCGTGCCATCTACCGGTGGAACTAGAGTACAAGGCAGCTTGGGCGGTCAAGGAGCTAAACTTTAACCTTAAAACCGCAGCGGAGAGGCGCCTGATCCAACTGAACGAGCTTGAGGAGATAAGACACTTGGCTTACGAGAACACCAAAATCTACAAAGAAAAGACCAAAGCTCTCCATGATAGGAAGATAGTGCCTAAGTCTTTCGCCGCTAACGACCAGGTTCTGCTTTTCAACTCAAGACTCAAGCTTTTTCCCGGCAAACTACGCTCAAGATGGTCTGGCCCGTTCAAGATAAAAGAAGTCAAGCCATATGGAGCAGTGGTTCTTTGGGACCCTAGTGGAGGAGACTTCACCGTAAACGGTCAGAGGCTAAAACCATACCTAGCCAACTCGGAAAAGGGAGTAGAGGAAATCATACCCTTGGCCGATGCACCACAAGAATAAGAAAGAGAAGGAGTCAAGCTAAATGACTTAAAACAAAAGCGCTTTATGGGAGGCAACCCATATGGTTTTTAACTATTATTTCTATTTTGCAGGAGTTTTTCAAAAATCAAACAAAAATACAAAAATATTTTCTTAGGATGAAGACCCAAAGGAGACCAAACAATGGAAGTGTCCCACCCAATGAGCCCACCCTTGTACAAGGCGTTTCTCTTCCAAAAGGTAAGTAAACTCTCACCTAGTATTCATTTCTAATCACTCTTGATCTTCACTTGAAAAATCGTTTAAACCATTGCACTTTACCAAATATATTTCATGGTTTAACTTGATTTACATTTGATGATTGGAAAGAATACATAATCACTTGTCAAAACTCATTTCTCACTGAAATTACAAGAGATTGAACTATAGTTTGAAATTTGGATCATTGACCAAGACCAAATAAGAATTTATAGTTTGTGCTTTAATCTCTTGGATTGTGAACTTCAAGTTGGTCACTTGAGGATCACAATCTGAAGAAACCATCTAATCATGATTTCAAGTGTTTTGCAAGGAGTTAACCATTTGACAGGAAGGAGAAATAGAGCAAACCTATAACCAACCTCAAAACCAACATGCATATGGCGGCCAAAGGGAGGTTAAAAGGAGATACAAGGCCATCACACGAAACAAGGCGGCCACCACTTGGGAATGACACAGGAGGGTTATTAAAACAATTCGGTCGAAGAAAATCTCAATTGGCCCGAGTGGATTTGAAGAAATTCAATCCGGACATTTCTCTCGGCCATACGCGCACAAGGAGACCAAATTACGGCCAACTCCTAAACGGCGTGACCAAAGTCCACCAAACTTCACAGGCGACCATAAAATCACATTTTGGTCGGCAAATCCAAAAGATAGGACGGAGAAATCATCACGGATCATGAGATAGACGACGGAGCTCATTCTGGCCGATGGCGCGCAAGCAATATGGCCGACAAAACCAAATCACGGCATAGGCGCGCCAACCGGTTGGAAAACTCTTCTTTGAGCTTAACTAACACTTTTATGCAGGAAGAAACGAAAAGGAACGAGCCAAACTTCACATGGCCAAGGAAACTCCTTCCCGGAGCCGACTTGACCATTTTGTGAAGGAAGTCTCAATCCTCGTACAAATGCTCCCAAACTTCACCAGAGGCATAAAATACCAGGTTGGTCGATGAAATTTCAATATAGGTCATGAAATTTTTGACGGTTTGTTCTGTAGTTCACAGCACCACATTTTGGCCGACCGAATATACCAATCTCGGCCAAAACACAAACCGGCGGAAACCAAGGCCTGAAATTAAAAACTCACCGACCAATATTGCCTAAAGAAGTGTAGAATGACCCAAACCGGAACTGATCTTCATTATAAATTGGTCGACATTTGGTAACATCATCCTAAACCTTTTTCTTTTCAATTTTTCATTTGAACTTCATGTTATGCCTCTCTTAATCCGATTTGATTTCACCGGGACGGTGCAAGTTAAGTCTGGGGGGATTACTAACAATGTTTGTTCATTTTGGCGTTTTCATTTGCATTTTTCCCTTTTATCGAGTCGTTTTTATTGAGTCAAAATTTTTGTCGAGAATCATGACCTTATCTTGGATCTAACCATGGTTGTACTAATGTTTAAGTGACCATTGAGCAGTTCTTGGCAATACATCTTACCACAGGTGCACTATGAGTTGATCGATCTACCAAAAACGCCTACATCTCTAAAGACTTGAGAAGGATCCATCTTTGACTCCGCCCTTAATGAACTTAATCTTCTCAGCTAGGGGCTTGGCATACAAATGGCATGATTCCTCATCCTCTCCATCAAATGAAAAAGTCTTAGTGAGTTCGTGCTTCCCTCTCTCTCCCCTTCAAATTTAAAGAAAAAGCGTAAGGTCCAAGTAACCGGGGATTCGGTGGCAAACACCATCAATACTCGCGTCTATGGAAGGCCTATGAATCCAAGCAACCGGGGATTCGGTGGCAAACACCATCAATACTCGCGTCTGTGGAAGATCCAAGCAAAACCTCTATAATAAAGAGAAGGAGTTGAATAAAAAAATACTTCGCTACCCTAAAAAAGGGATGAATCAACTCAAAGAAGTGAGAAGAGAGAGAGGAGAAACATGGAGTAAAAGACAAGTGCCAAACAAGGGGATGAGAAAGGATTTCCCGACGTCCAAAAGTTGCGATCTTGATATGGAAAGATAGATACTTGAGTCATGCATCACGTCGAAGTGGAATGAAGCCATTTGGATCAACTATGAGGCCTAGACTTATTTTCTACCGAGACATGTCCGGTAAGCGAGCAAACGAAGCCCATGGAGGATTTGGAGTGTCTAATGGCCCGAGCAGCAGCGCCAAAGGCCTTGATCGAATAGAGAAGAGGCCTGGCTAATGTTTGGAGCTTTCTTTAGCACAATATCGGCCCATACACGACGTGGAGAAGAAGGCTCGGCGCATGAGAAACTTTCCTTTTTCAGCATGAAGAAAACCCTACTCGATCTCGCCCATATATACATGTTTTTAGCCGCTGAGCGCGAGAGTCGAGAGTGTCAAGGTGTGCGCCGTCAGAGAAGAAGAGGAATACCCCCAAGAAGGAAGAAGTGAAGCCTCCTCGGATCCAAGCCGCACACACGAACACACAAAAATCGTTACATCTTTGTTCTTGTTACTTTTGTTTTCCGGATTTTGGAGTTAAAAGGAAGGATTCGATCTTTTCATCAATAGAGAAGCTTTCTCCATCCCTTTTTCTCTTTAATATTCGCATGATGCTTTCATTCAAATCTTGTTTGTTTGCTTGCACCATGGCCGAGTAAATCCCTTACTAGGCCGTGGTGGATCAATGAGTGCATAAACCTAAAAATGAGAGTCTTGTGAATTGAGAATAACCTTTGTGTTCTTCACCTTTACTTGAGCATAATGCCGTTTGCTTTTCTGATCATCTAGCATCGGATCTTAGGTTAATATACTCTCCAAAAGCTTGTTATATTGCCGGAACTAGTATTTGGTGAGCGATAGTTCACGGCCAACGAAAGTTGAGTTGTGGAGTATTGTGAACAATTAAATCTTGAACATCTTTAATGCATGTTTACAACTTTTAATAACCAACGAAAGCTGAGTCTATTAGGTTGTTTAAACATAGTAGTTGGAGCCACGAAAGTGGAAAAACTATATCTTAGTGATTTAAGTTCAAGAACGGTCTATAATGAATCTCTTTCACTTGACTTCTTTGTAAGTTTGTTGCATCTCGGCGATCTACCATTGTCTAGTGTTTCCCCTTATTGATTCATTTCCATCTATTCATTATCGTCAAAACATTCTCAAACCATATTTTGCTTTAGCTTGCTTCAACTCTTACTCTTGTAGCACAATCGATAGGTCCTTGTGGATTCGATCCCATACTATACTTACCTCGTTGCTGTGCACTTGCAGGTACTTAAGTTGGGTAAAACTTGAAGACAAACCCAGCTTGCATCAATCAACACCCCCAAACTTGAACTTTGCTTGCCCTCAAGCAAACAAATAGAACAAGAAAGAGATGAGGTTTGAAAACAAGTTGATTCAACACTTAAAAACATGTCCTCAAAAGCGATTTGCTAAATGTCCAACTTAGAGATTCTAGAATGCAACAAGGTGAGAGATATTCATTAAGATTTAACCATGCTTATCAACATCAATCCCACTTCACAGTCACTCAAACAATGCATTCAAATCAGCAAATCCCTTTAACATTCATGCAAGATCAATCAACTCATTTGGTTTCAAGGGTTTATGGGTTAAGAGACAAAGAGGGTCTCTTTTGTATGGTGGTTTAGTAACAGGGATCTCTCAAGAAAGTGGCTTTGCTTTGGCAGAAGGCTAAGTGTTAGAACCAAAGATGATGCAAGAACAGCAGCTCGAGCCGCCTAATCCTAACTCGATCGAGTTCAACACTTAGAGCTTTTTAGAACAAAATCCTAACTACCCTTTTTGGCATTTCGCCTTTGAAACTGAGGAGCTTTGCTCACTTTTCTTTTAAGAACTTCCTAGGGAGAGGCTTCTTGAGGTAACATCTAGCGGTTTGGGATTTTCTAAACACTTAGGGAACTTTTCTTTCCTTTTTGACACTTGAGGCTTTGCCTTCTTTTCTTTCTACTTAGAACCCTTTTTACTTCCTTTTTAACTTCCCAAACCTTTACTAGACCCTTTTTAACACTGCCAACTCCCTGGACTTAACTAAACTCTTTTTCCTTTGGATTTTCCCAACTTTTACCACTTTTCTGGTTTTTACCCAACTCGATCGAGCTCGAGTTGGCACCCCCAAACTTAGCCTGAAAACAATCCCAAGAGAACTAGACAACTAGAACTACTGCCCCTGCCGGTTTAAACACAACACCTTATGCTAAGCAAAGCCAAGAAAGGTTCTCACAATCGCACAAGAGATAATATGGGGTTTGAAATGAAAAGGCTTAGGTTTAAGGTGTGGTAACTGTCTCAAAGATGGAGATCAGCTATCTGGACAAGCAAGAGGGATATGAAAATAGGTAAAGAATGTCCAGATATGTATGTGGTAGCCATGAGTTGAAATCAAATGCAAGCATCTAATATATTATTTGCGAAGTGAAAATTTCGTTTAGAGCCACCACATTGATTCTCAGCTGGTTCATTACCCAGTTACCCTTAATGAAAATTCTATTTTTAAAATCTTCATAATTTCCTTTTTTTTTTTAATTTCACGAATTATATTAGTAAATAAAAATATTTTACGATAATAATTCTAATTACCATATTAGGCACCACAATTTTAGAAGAAATCTAAAAAATTGAAAAGATAATTTGATTCTCAGCTGGTTGATTACCCAATTACCTTTAATGAAAATACTATTTTTAAAATCTTCATAATTTTTTTTTTTTATTTCACGAATTATATTAGTAAATAAAAATATTTTATGATAATAATTCTAACTAGGTCTTGACCCGTGCTTGGGAAGCACGGGATGTTATGATTTTTAAAAGAACATTTTAACTATTGATACAATTATGTAAAAATAACTATGCATGATTGTGATATATAATGATGAATCAGTGTTATTTTGATTATCCAAGGATGAAATTAAATAAATATGCGATCATTAATGTTAAATTTGGGTGAGTTAAAAATTGTTACTATTTGAAGCTAGATTTTGACCCCGAGAGAACGAAATCAAACCGAAATCGGCGTCTGAATAATATAACATAAATATGTGTCGTTTTACGGGTTTGCTTGCGTCTAATATTGAGAAGCACGGGATGTTGTGATTTTTGAAGATTTTAGTTTTTTTGAATTATACAGTTATTCACTGTTAATTTTAATTTGGTTGATCGTTTGATCATTTTATTTATACGTCATAGATGGGAACTAACAGTTGATCGTTTCATTAGTTGTTTGGTGATTCAAGAAAGAGTTTTTGATTGCTTTTCCATTCATAACTTCTCTACATCAAAATCAAAATGAGATTAGTAAACATGAAAATAGTAAGAAGGGAAACATCTATGCAATAACCCGGTATGTACTAATCACCATGTAAACGATGTATTTATAGTTTCTTAAGATGGGGTCATTAGGTTTTCAATCAATATGGTTTCAAAATATCATCACACAGTATTTTTTTGGCACCGTATTTTTTTGTACATATTTACGCAAGAATCTTTGATTTTTTTCGTTTTGGTAACTTTTCAAATTCAATATCTATAGCAAGGTTATGACGGTTCTTTTGCTAGGCTTAATTTTTTTTTTCTGCGGACGTGTATTACTTCTGAAAGAAGTTTAACTTGGATTCACCAACCTATTTTGAAAGGCTTGCCATCATAAAGGTATATGAAGCAATAAGGAGAAACTATTTATTTATACGTCATAGATGGGGACTAACAGTTGATCGTTTTCATTAGTTGCTTAGTGATTCAAAAAAGTTTTTTGGTTGTTTTTTTATTCATAACTTCTCAGCATCAAAATCAAAATGAGATTAGTGAACATGAAAATAGTAAGAAGGAAAACATCTATGCAATAACCCGATATCTATTTTAATAGTATATATATTAAGTTTCTAAAATTGGATATTGGTTTCAAATTTGATTAAAATGTTGTTATGGCAACATATGTCTTTTTTAATCATATTTTAACCCTCAATTATTTATTATTATTTTACTTATTTTTAGAGTAATTTTTTTTGTTCGTTATGTTTTTCTTTTATTTCGTTTTGCGTTATTGAAAATTGAGTTTCCTCAATCTATCCGTCTTCTTCTCCGATCCGAACGGCTGGTCGAATTCCTTCTTCGATCTCCGGTTGTTTATCTCGTCGTTGTTCCACGTTGTTGTTGTTCTTGTTCTTCTCCTTCTCCTTGGTCTCCTTTCTCCTTCACACGCCGTTTCTCTTCTTCCTCTTCTCCACCGCCACCGAGAGTTCTTCTTCTACGATCTCCGGTTGTTTTGTCGTCATTGGTCGACGTTGTTGTTGTTCTTGTTCTTCTCCTTCTCCTTGGTCTCTTTTCTCCTTCACACGACGTATCTCTTCTTCTTCTTCTCCATCGTCGTACGATCTTGATCGATTCCTATCGTCTGTAAGGTTTGTGACTCTATGATTCCATTATTATGAGTTGCTATTAGTAGCTGATTTTAGAGATTTTATTTGATCAACCTTGAAAACTATTTGGTAAATCGTGTATCTATTTCCTTTGACATTGAATTAGACGCATAGTATATTGATTTCTGATGTGTATTTCAATTTCAGATAAGTTTTGTGTCAATCGTTAAGGTTTTGTGACAAATTTGGTTACATTGTGTTGTTGATTGTGTTATTATTTGAATTGTATAACGATATAGTATGCTCTGATTGTATAGAAGCTGTTATAGATGTCTTTGCATCAAATGTGATTTTGCGAAACAGTCTCTTATCATTGCATCAAATGTGATTTTGCGTCAATGTAGCTTGTTCTATAGCTAGACGTTAACACTGAGATCTAAAGGTTACAGCTTTATAAAAGCTAATCACTCGATTCTTGCTAATTCCTTACCTATGACTATTGTTTTGCAAGGCTTCTTTACTTTAGTAGCTGATTTAGTGTCCATGGTTCTGTTAGAATCTCGCCTTGCATTGTAATTACTTGTGTGTGCTCAGTTATTCAAACCAATGGATTCAATTTTTGTGGAGCAGGTGATCATCGGATTATCTTTGGGTGTTAGACTGTTAGAGTGAAACTCATTTTTTTAAAGTAAGGTAAAACCAAACAACAATTTTGATCGAGAATCATTACTTTAAAAAATTGTTTGGGTGTTCTTGATTGAAGCTTAAATAATGTATCATTATTAAGTTTTGGAGCTATGACTTTGAGCAACAATGTAGAAGAGACTTATGAAGTAGCTTTATAGATGGAACGTTCATATGTTAGGTTCTAGATTCATTTAATTTCACATGTTTGTTTTTTTTTTTTTTTTTTTTTTTGAGAACTCTTTCACATGTTAGTTGGTAGTCTTTTTCGAAATGTTTCATAGGAATTTCCGATAGACAAAATTTTAGTTTAAAAAGGTTTGAGATTTCATTATGAAAGAAAGTGAAATGATCCGAACTTATATCTATAAGAACATTAGTTTTTGTCTCGTGTTATGTTGCATACTCCGAAACCACCGATATATTGGTAGTATTAAACACTTAGTAATTTTATATATTCTGCTTAACTCTTAAGCCATTGTTCTTGACAAACTCTATTTTTGTAATCATAACCCATAGGTATTGCTCAAACCCCCTTTCAATAAATCATCAAAACAAACACAAGTTCTCTATTAATTTCACATTTGCTCTTATTTTATAGTAAACATTGACTCATTGTTGTGGTAATGATGCATGCTTCCAGAAAAATGATGTTGTTCTTAAAGAAAAAAGATACTCGCGCAGCCATCAGAAGGATGATATTGGACGGGTTTCCATGGTCCTCTCCATAAGCCAGGTTGAAGTTGGTAAATTCCCTTGACATTTATTGTGTGGGTTTTTAATTATTCTTGAATTTTGCATGTTTTTGGTTATTGATATAGGACATTGTTTAACATCATATTGTTTCAAAACAGAGTTTATCTTTCTTGACATTGTATTGATTCTGGCTACACCCGAGTAGACTCTATTCAAGTAGACTCTATTTGGTTCTTTGAGAACATACACATACATATACGATGTGTATCCAATCTGAGATCAAATTAAACTAAAGCATAATTATTCTGAGTTTACTCTATAAACAGTAACTACTGTCTCGTTTTTTCCCTCACTTCAGTTGTCTTGATTTCTGTGGGCTTATTCTTATTAATTAGTATCCTCCTGAGGAGGGGCCTCCGCCAAGAATTTAGTCTTGTTGGCGTCCTCCTAGTCTTCTCTAATTTGATGCAAGGCTTCTTTGATGTAGGTTTCAGGTCAAGTGCATCTCCGACTTCTTTGCAAAAGTGAACAGATTTTTCGTGGAGCATAACAGGTCGTTAGAATCAAATATACTCTCAAAATATGATCTTAGAAAAATCTTATCATATTAACTAACCAAATGAGATTTAAAATTTTGTTACCTTTGTGATAAGATATAATTGATGATGAAAGGTCTTCTGCTGTCGTTTGATGATGAGGGTCATATGTTGATATGTTTAGCTTATTCACTAAATTAAACTTAATAGGCTTTCTGTGATCTGATTTTGATGGCTTTAGATATGCGAGCTTTTGATGAGTTGAGGACAATAGTGAATGTTAGCTTTACAGATTGATTTTAGCTTTACAGATTGATTTACAGATTGCTTTTGATGGCTTTACAATAGTGAATGTTAGCTTTACAGATTGATTTTTTTTTATCTGCTTCTTAGATGATTTCAGTGATCTTGATGTGTTTAAGTGTTTCATTTGTAGTAGGGATTTTCTCAAATCTTCTTTTCGTAATCTTTTTGTTGTGAGCTTTGTTTCTCTTTTTATTTGTTTTTGTCATGTGTTATGTTTCTCATTTCTTTTGAGTTTGGTCTTCTCCAAATTTGGGCGCAGGTTTGTGCACAGCTTTGAAATCAGTCACAAAGTTATCTTGTAAAACGCCGAAGGTTGTTTGTATTCTCTCGATGCCCACTTGCCAACCTGAAGTTTTTTTCCAAGAAAGGTAAAGCATGTTTTTAAAAATATATTTTCACAGTCAACAAAACATAACTGATTCTTAAATTGGAATTGAAAGCATGTATTACTTACATTGTGATGTTTACTTACGTTTCTTCTTCTAGGATCAGCTCCAATGTCGCAGCCGCCATGAACAAACTGGAAAATGTGTTCTGGCGTTGTTGATTAGGTATGTTTCCATTCATTGACTTTCAATATACCATTAGAAGGTTTCTTCCTAGTTAATCCTTCAGCAGATCTGTGATGATGGCATAATAGAGGATATGATAGCGGCATAATAGAGGATATGATAGGAGTAACCTTTGATAGCGAATTTAACCATAAACATTGGCTTGATATTTGGGATTTCCTGATCTAAAGAAAAGCTTTTGGTTCTTTTCCACTCACGATTTCCCCTACAATCAAAAAGAAAATAAAGAAAATGTGATTAGTAAACATAAAATATAGAGAGGAGAAGGATATATGCAATTCGATGTGTGTGCTCCATTTACCCCATGAACGATGTATTTATAGTTTTTTAAGATGGGTTATTAGGTTTTTAATCAATAAATTTCGAATATACAATTATAAGCTAAGATTACGTAATTTGGTTCACCGAATATTCAAGTTCCCAAAAAGTTGTTATTGTATTGGATTTTTTGAAATTAGCATATATTACTTGAGAAATTTCCCTAACTATTAAAGATTTAGCTTAAATCTCTTTGCCTTGTTTTGAAATTGAGTCATAATAGCGGAATATATGGTGCCATAATTAGTCACAGATTTAATGAGTTGTTTTCATAATTCTTTTTTAAATTAATATTGTTTCCTATTTTTGAATTAGATCTGCAAGTCTTTCCAAAAACTTGAAGGAGAAGGATGGACGGCCGGTTTATTGTTTGATAAGCGTTCGGTTATTTGATTTTGGAACAATTTATTTAGCCGGTTCAATTTAAGTTAATTTCAGGTTAAATCCTGTTTGGCTACAGGGATAAGGGCTTGTTTAGTGTACTTTTCTTAAGTTGTTCCTCTACTTTAATAGTATAGATTACCATATGAGGCACCACAATTTTGAAAGAAATTTAAAAAATTGGAAAGATAAAAAAGGAAAACATAGGTTTCTCAACCGACTTTGTTATATAAATAGATAGCAACTTGCAAAATCAACACAGTTTACGATTCTTTTTTCTAGATGTATGATAATATTTCGGAGTCCATATTTCATCTTTTTGTCATGTAGGTTTATTGTTTTTGTTGGATCTTAGTGTTATTAGCTCTAATGATTAATTGATTATTCATTATTTTTCTTTAAATTTTATGCAAAGATTCGGATCTAACTTCTAATTCTTTTACCTTCGTAACAGTAAATTCATGCTTTGTTAGCTAATGAAATCAAGAAGATCAAATATGGTACCAACTCAAAACAGTTCTTCCCATGAAATATGTGGTATGTACATCTTTCCTTTTTTAAACAACTTAAATCTCATAAAACCCTAATTCGACTAAGCTTATCTAAAAGATTTTCAATATTCGTTTAAGATCCATCATATTAGTTTCATATTTCATAGTAAATCGTAAGTGATTATTTTATCAGTTTCATATTTCAAGATGAAAAAACATAAATAAAGAAAAATGAAAAGAAGCCGAAATTGATAAATAAGATACTGAAAAAAAAAGATTGATAATAAAAAATGACAATGAATACAATATGAAATAAGAAGAAAAACCTGAATAATAGTAAGGGAAAGATGAAAGTTGGAAGACAAAGACGAAAAAACAAAAAAAAAAAAACAAAAGAAGAAGAAAAGAATTGAAGAATATGTGAACAACAAAGAAGTTGGAAAAATCAAAAGATAAAAAAAACGAAGTTTAAGAACACAAAGCCAAATGAAAAACAAATTGTAAATAAAATGAAGAAAACGAATAAAAATCAGGAAATAAAAAGATGATAATGAAGAGGAGGAAAATAAAAAGAGAATAGAAAGTTTGGTAAGAATAAGAAAAAATGGTAGAAAATGAAGGAAAAAATTTATGAAAGAAGTAAAAGAAGAAGATAATATGCGGTTGGAGTTTATGATGTACCGTTATAATGTGGGGTTTAAATTTAGGTGTAGGGTTGCTTTGAGGGGGGGGGTTGTTACACTATAGGGTTTGGGTTTAGGGTGGGGTGGTGTTACACTATGGGGCTTGGGTTTAGGATGTAGGGTTTATATTGATGGGTGTAGGGTTTAGTTTTTGGTGCATTTTTAAACATTTGAATGGAAGAATATCGTAAATAAAAATCATTGATTATAAAGTTATATCCACCTTTCTAAATTACATTCACAAATAGAAAAATTAACAAATTAAAGCAAATCCATAGTGGAAAGATAACAAAACCATGATAGATTTTTAAAAGATCTCGACTATATAAAGAATTGGAGAAGATAAAAGAGAACAAAATAAGAAGTGTGAAATCTTTTGTATCTCCCTAAACGAATGAAAAAGATTATATAGAAGAACGAGAAAGAGAAAATAAAAATAAGACACATCAAAATTATAGAAATAAGAAGTTAGCGAAAAAAAAAATTAGTATAATAAAAAATTATACTACTTATATTATTAAAATCTTTATTTAATTAATTTATTAAAAAATATTGTACCCACACAAGGTGCAGGACAACCACCTTGTTGGTAATTAAAGATCAAGTTATGGTTCATATAAATAGGGAAATGCATCAAATCACAGCAATGGTTGAATGAGATGTGCATGCAGTGATATGATCAAGATAAACATGGTTCTTGCTGCTCAATCAATCTCACCCTAATGCACAAGAGAATCTAAAAACAGGGCACTCAAGAAATCGCAAAATGATGAACAAGTTTTCAAAGTCAAATCAACAATGCAAGTGAAAGATGCAATCCTAAACAATACTAACAAATATGAATGCAAAAAGATGAAAATATTTTTGGATTTTTTGAAAATTTTATGATTTTTTTGGTTTTTCTATGCAAATAAGAGAATGAAAAACTAAGAACAAAGAAAACAAGGTTAAATCATCTCTTGAACCCTCCCCCAAACTTAAATCACACAGTCCCTTGTGTGAGAGAAAATTTAGTGAAAGATTCAAGAGGCAAAAACCAAGAAAATAAAAACAAAGCAAAGAAAACATGAAATGGTATTTACAAGGGTTGTGTTTGATACCTCAGTGCCCCCCAAAGAACTGGGAGGCAAGGTCGTGGTCAGGAGAGGGCAGACGGCCATCAGGACACTCCACTCGAGTGGGTTCACCTCACTCGATCGAGCTTGCTCTTGGCTCGATCGAGTTGTGCCTCGAGTTGGTTTCCTCTTCTTCCTAAAACCGTTCCTTGCAAGACTTAGCCAAGAAAAACAGAGATAAAAGATAAAAGCGATATATACAAGATAGACATGGGAATTCCTCCCAAGTGAGCTTGTTTTAGGTCTCATAGCTTGACCTTACCTTTTAGGCCGGGGTTGGATCTTGAAGAGGAGTGATGATCTCCTCTGTGGGGGTCATTCCTAGATATGGCTTGCATCTATGCCCATTCACTGTGAATTTTCCCCTCTTGGTTGAGTAGAGTGAGGATCCATAGGGTAGAACTTCGTGATCTTGAATGGTCCCGCCCACTTTGACCTCAGCTTCCCGGGAAACAACCTTAGCTTGGAGTTAACAAGAGCACACTGTCCCCAACCTTGAAGTCCTTAAGGCGAATCAGTTTGTCGTGGGCTGCCTTGGTTCTCATCTTGTAAATCCTGGAGTTCTCATAGGCATTCATTCTTATTTCCTCCAACTCAAACAAGTTCATTACCCTCCTTTCTTGTGCTGCCTTTATATCAAAGTTCAGCATCTTTACTGCCCATAAAGCCTTGTATTCGACCTCCACAGGTAAGTGGCAATCCTTCCCATATAGCAAATTGAAAGGAGACCTTCCAATGGGGGTTTTGTAAGCTGTTCTATAAGCCCAAAGTGCTCATCAAGCCTTGCTGCCCAATCCTTTCCTAGTGAAGCTCACAGTCTTCTCCAATATGGCCTTATCTGTCTGTTGGAGACTTCAACTTGCCCACTGGTTTGAGGGTGATAGGGTGTGGCACCTTGTGCTTGACTCCATACTTTCATCAACTTCTCAAACACCTTGTTGATGAAATGGGAACCTCCATCCGAAATAACAACCCTTGGGATGCCATATCTTGGAAAGATGATGGTTCTGAAAGCTTGATAACAACCTTGGCATCACAGGCTGGGCAGGGAATGGCTTCAATCCATTTGGACACATAGTCCACAGCAACCAAAATGTAGTTGTGCCCGTTTGAAGAAGGTTTGAAAGGTCCCATGAAGTCTATTCCCCATACATCAAAGATCTCAACTTCTAGAATTGGGTTTAGTGGCATTTCATCCCTCTTGGTGATCCCTCCTTTCCTTTGGCATGGATCACACTTGGCAATGTAACTTGCTGCATCCTTGAACAAAGTAGGCCACCATAAACCAGATTGCAAAACCTTAGTTGCGTTTTGAATGTGGCAAAGTGACCTCCATAAGCAGACCCATGGCAATGCTCTAGAACTCCTTGTACATCTCTTCAGCTATGCATCTCCTGTAAATGCTATCTGGTCCTCTCTTGTACAAGTAAGGCTCATCCCAATAGTAGTGCCTAGCATCCTTGAAGAACTTCTTCCTCTTGTAAGCATCAAAACTACTAGGGACTTCTCCAGACACCATGAAGTTCACTATATCAGCATACCATGGCAAATTCTCATCACGCAGAGCCTTAACTTCTTCCAGCCTGACTTTCTCATCAAAACTCTTTCAAGATCATGATTGCCATAAGCTGTTCTTCAGGCATAGAATCATTGATGGGGACTATGTCTTCAACTCGCATCCTAGAGAGATGATCAGCAACTCCATTCTACTCCCTTTTTGTCCACAACTTCTATGTCAAACTCTTGAAGCAAAAGGATCCATCTGAGAAGTCTTGGCTTTGTATCTTTCTTAGCAAAGATGTGCCTAAGGGCAGCATGGTCAGTGTGCACAATCACCTTGGACCCAACTATATAGCTTCGAAACTTTCTCAAAGGCAAAGACGATGGCAAGGAGCTCCTTCTCTGTGGTTGCATACTTGCATTGAGCATCATCCATAGTCTTGCTTGCATAGTAGATGACATTGAGTTTCTTGTCTATCTTTTGGCCAAGCACTGCTCCTACTGCATAGTCAGATGCATCACACATAATCTCAAATGGGTGATCCCAGTTTGGAGCTTGAACTATTGGGGCAGATACCAGAGCATCCTTCAGCAAGGTCCAAGACTTGTGGCATTCTTCATCAAACTCAAAATCTGTCTCTTGCACAGAAGCCTTGTCAAGGTCTTGCTATCTTTGAGAAATCCTTGATGAATCTTCTGTAGAACCCTGCATGACCCAGAAAACTCCTGATGTCCTTCACAGTCTTGGGAACAGGAAGCTGCAACATGACATCCACCTTAGCTCGATCGAGCTCGATCCCTTTCTCGGAAATCTTGTGTCCAAGCACAATCCCTTCTCGAACCATGAAGTGGCACTTCTCCCAGTTGAGTACTAGATTTGTCTCCTCACACCTCTGCAACACCCTGCACAAGTTAGACAAACATGAGGAGAAGGATGCTCCATAGACTGAGAAATCGTCCATGAAGACTTCTACCATCTCCTCTATCAGATCTGAAAAAATGGAGGTCATGCATCTCTGGAAAGTAGCTGGGGCATTGCACAGCCCAAATGGCATCCTTCGATAAGCAAAGGTACCATAAGGGCATGTGAAAGTGGTTTCTCCTGATCATTGGGTGGATCGGGATTTGGAAGAAACCACTGTAACCATCAAGAAAACAATAAAAAGGGATGGTTTGCTAATCTTTCTAACATCTGATCAATGAAAGGGAGAGGGAAATGATCCTTTCTAGATGCTGAATTTAACTTCCTATAGTCAATACACATGCGATGCCCCACTATTGTTCTAGTGGGAATCAGCTCCTCTTTGTCATTTTTTATGACAGTGATCCCCCTTTCTTTGGGACGCAATGAACTGGAGTTCTAAAGACAACCATATTCTTCAAGAGCTATGTCTTTTTCAGCTCTTCTGTTTCTGATCAGTTACGGCGTCCTTTTGTTTTGGATGAACTCACTAAAGGATTTTGTAAGAAAGAGCTGCTTGCTAGAGACATCCACTTCTGGGAAGGCAAGGAACCCTAAAAAGGAGGTCTGCTTATGGGATATGAACTGCTTCTAATCGATCAAAAGGTAACGACACCAACATTATTTACCAATTACCAATAGAAAGTTAAATCATCATCAACTTATAATACTCTTTTCTACCATAATTTAATACAGGGAACTACAATCCAAGCATTCATACCAGCTTATCGACTAGGAGACTATGAGGAAAAATTAAAGGCTGGTGAAGTTTACAAGTTTAATAGCTTTCTGGTCATCAACAACAAAAAGGCGGGAGAAGTCTACAACATTGGTAGTTTTTTGGTCATCATCAACATACAAGTTCTCCTCACACAGATTTCTCATCCAATTCATTCCGGAAACAACAATGGTGCAAGCCGACCATGATGACTACACTATTGAGGGTCAAAACTTTGGGATTCGTTCCAACGCCGAGTTTAATGAATCTGTTGACAAGAACGAGGACCTTTATGGTAATAACTCTTTCATTATGAGTAGAGTTCAATCAAAGGAAGACATTGAGAAAAGTATGTTTAGACGATGGATGGAGAGAAACGAAGAATCAGAAGAGGCTCATCAGATAACTTATTCGGAATTTCTGAAAAAAATTTACATGGAACAGCGATAGAAGTCTATGGTCAAAAGTGGAAAGTTTTGAAGAGATTCAAAGTGCTGGGGACACGAAATATGATGATTACAAATCAGTATCCTATGATAGAGGTCTCCTAGATTCAGACTCTGAGTGGCATGACGTGATGGACGAAGCAACTCAATGGTCTACACCTTATCAACTACGAAGACTATTTGTTTGCTTGCTGATATATTGTCAAGTTGGGAGTCCTCTAAATTTGTGGAATCGCTATTGGAAATCACTAGGTGAAGACATGCTTCACAGAAAACGCAAGACTTTCAACTTTCCCAAGCCTACGTCTAAATGAAAATCAGCTAAAGCAATACACTTTGATGGAGATAGAGAAACTTATGAACCAGCATGGACGATCAATAGCTGAGTTCAAAGACATGCCGTGCTATAATAGATAGACTAGATCTAATGTTCGATTAAAAGACTATTATCTAATGCTTATCCTTTTACTTTTTATCTAAAGACTATTATCTAATGTTGCTAAGTACTTGGTGGAACAGAGAGAAAGTTTACCAACCTTGACAATCTCTGGCTGTGATTCAAACTTTTGTTTCAAGAAATACTCCACAGCTTTCACATCATCATATGCTACTCTCTCGACCTTATTAACTTCCAACGTATCATCAATGCTAAACACAGCGAATATGAATTGCAAGTAGACATCACCATCTTTTGAAAAGCATGGAACTTCGGTGACTTGAGGGACTTTTGAAAGATACAGAGGCAATTTAATCTACCAAATATATTAAAAAAACAAGAGCATTTGATGCGCCCCTGGACTAGATCGACTATGAAGGTAAGTGAATGAATGGATCGGATCACAAAGGAACCGATGATGAATGGTTGAGCGGATTGGAAAGTGAATCGAATGGCTATACTAGAGATCCAGCGGAAGAGATCTCTAACACCACCTCCAACGTGTTGATATTACACACAACAAGTGAGAGGAAATCTGTGGACTTAGTTGATATTACGCACAACAAGTGAACAGAGAATAATCAAACAAAAGAGAGGTTTTGGATATAGATTGATTGATAAACTGAAAAGGATTTCGTCCAGTACAATATAAAGGGAAAGAGAAGAAGGGAAGAAGGAAGAGATGAGTCAAGGAACAAACTCCAAAGACTATCTCGGAAAAGCAAACACAATTAAAACAAAGTTTGAACACAAATATGACCCTTGATCTTCATGGCCACGTTTTTAGCCTTCTTTATTGATGGGCCTTGGTCTTGATCAGCTAAATGGGTGATTTGTATGTGACCCATTTGCCTCATTAAAAACCTTGTCAAGAAAACCCATTGGGACAAAACTTGACAAGGGAAAAAGAGTACAAATGAGACACATGCCCATTTGCTGATCTCTTGAGCTTGGATCAAAAACCAGGGAGGTTTAGGATCATGTCTTCTCCATCTTGGCTCAAGATTAACTCCAGAATGAGTAATCAGTTCCATTGGCGCAGCTACAGAATCCTTGGAAACAAGCTCCTTCTCAGCTGCAAGCTCTTTAATTCCGTCAGGTTCCAGCTCCATATGTTTAGCTCCATCAGGTTCAAGTTGCGCGGCTTCAAGTCCCTCCTCGGCTTCAAGCTGCTCCATTCCATCTTCTTCCTCGGCCAAAAGCTGCTTTTCCTGAACCTCCTCATCCATGATCGCATCAGCATTAGACAACTAAAGAACTCGCAAATACTTAGTCAACACAAAAATGAAAAGAACAAAATCATAAATTAGATAATAAACATTCACTTGGGTGAGAAACAAGTACCTCGACAAGTACTCGGAAATTGATAAAAGAAAACTTGCTCATGGAAGAGGCAAAGTCATTAGCTTTACCCCAGTAACGTCCATCGAAAGGCGACAATTTTGAAAAATTAGACATCTCTGAGTCTCTGGAACTTGGCGGAGCAGTTGGCATCACCTAGAGATAGAAAAATAGATTAAACGCTAAACACATAATCTCAACATCAACAAAACTGGCTTCAAAATAGGGAAAATTCAAACCTTTCACGAAGTGATTAGCTTGAGAGAATCAGTAGAAGAAACAGAGAAATAAAGTCTCGGAAGAGGGATTAAAGCAGAAACTGTTCCCTCAATCAATTGATCAAATTAGTTTTGACAGGTCTCAATCGCTCAGAGGATTAAGGCAAATAACCAAGATGAGAAACAAAGAAGAGGGATCTCGATGATGAGATTAACAATGTTCCGGTGGGAATAAGGTAGAAACATTGTTCGATTTTGTTGTCGGCAAATGAAGAAAAACAACGAATCATTTCTAATTTCAATGTGATAGCAAAACCGAACCGTAAAAAACCAAAACAATGGAACCGGGAATTGGAAACGCGGTTATTAATTAAACAGGATACGAAAAAGAAAAGTTTGGAATATATGAGACTTTTTAACTATCAAAACAGTGATTTAAAAATAAAGAGATGAATTTATTAAATGGAATTGAATGCAAAATAATTAAACTAAAAAAAATAATATAAATAAATTAAGTATAAATCATAAACTCAGAGCTGGAAAAGCTAAACTAATAAATAAAATTAAAAAGGAAATTAACAACTAAAATATGTATTAGACTAATATTGGATTGTACAAAAGTTTGCCGACCTTTAATAGATATAAAAAATTAAAAAGTGTCTAATGAATAGTAAAATTAAGGGATTAATTTAAGAAATGTGAGGATAAGGCTGTTGTATGTTTTTTACAGAAAATATATTTTTAAAAAGTACCTTACTTATTATGACTAATTATAAAATAATTAAATTGGTTAAGTAAAAAAATAATTAAAAAGTATATTACAAAGAAAAGTTTATAAAAAAAACAGCAAAAAAAAAGTGAAGCGTTTGTAAAAAAAAATATATAACAGTTTAAAATTTCATTAGAACAGACCCGCGCGTGCGCGGGTCAAAACGTAGTATTAACAGATACCAGGATAACATCTAGTCACTACACAAACTAGAAAAACCAAGTCAATACCACCAAAACAGTTAACTGTGACATTGACCGTTAGAGAGTGCTGAATTGGCGACACCGTGGGCCATGGCAATACCAAAATATTGGCCTCATAAAAAATAAATATAGATTTGTACCTCAGCAGGATCAAACCGTGATTGGGGGGCTATTTCAAAATATATTCCACCACTTATAAACTACTCCCCCTGTCCCATATTATAAGCTGTTTTGGAAAAAACAATTGTCCCACAATATAAGCAGTTTTGTGTATCCAATGCACTTTTTACTTTATGGGATATTGTGTACCCAATAAGATTATACAGATTTATTCACCAATTGGTTAGAATATGTTTAATTTATTTTCTAATGATATTTTCTTTTAAAATTTTACTTTTCTTAATTTTCCACTTTTGTGCCAAACTGCATAAGCTGTTTTGGAAAAAACAATTGTCCCACAATATAAGCAGTTTTGTGTAACCAATGCACTTTTCACTTTATGGGATATTGTGTACCCAATAAGATTATACAGATTTATTCACCAATTGGTTAGAATATGTTTAATTTATTTTCTAATGATATTTTCTTTTAAAAATTTACTTTTCTTAATTTTCCACTTTTGTGCCAAACTGCTTATAATTTGGGACAGAAGGAGTTTATGTTTGTGTTTATGCTCAATAATAAAATCATTATATTATATATTCGCTTTCATGATTTATTTAAAAAAAAATTCTCATGTTTATCTCTACCCAATTTAACCCGACCAGTCCAAATTTACTGATCTCATTTAAGTTTCAAAAGTATAAATTTATATTCATAAGGGTTCGAACTGTGGGGGTTTGAAGCCTCACATATCATTTCTCTGCTACTTGAGCAAATATTTATCTTATTTAATATAACTAGGATTAAGCTCGCGCGATGTGCGGGTTGTGACTATTACAAAATTTTATCACTTGTATCTTAATTCTCACATTAATTTTGCAAATATTTTGTTTCTAATATTTGTTCCAAATACGTTAATTTATTGTAATAATATAAATATATATTGTTATTTATTTTGTCTAATATCAAATTTCGCAAAATGTTAGCTGTTGTTTTGGAAGAAATAGTATAACATTTTTATTTAAGAATTTTAACACTGCGTAAAAATTAATATCATATAAAGGAGAACACATGAAATCCAAGAACAACATACATACTTCTGCATGCATGGACGTAAGATTTGTTTTTTCCAAACAATAAAAGCGGCTTCATATTTCCATTGTAATTGCATACATTAGTCAAATTACGTATCGGTTTGATGTCTTATAATGTTAACACACATTGCTTAGTCAGTTGGTCTGTTTTAGTTTATTTCCTCCTTGGGATCCATGTGCTGAGATTTCTTGTTCTTATTTTTTTGTAAACTGAAGTGCAAACCGATGAAAGACAGCTTTAACAAAAAAAAAACCGATGAAAGACAGAAAACATCATATTAGCCTTATTTCTCATATCCATGCTAACTGTCCAGGCCTTTTGTGAATTCAAGTTTTTCCAACACAAAATTTAGCATCTTAAAAAAAAGTAAAAAAAAAAAAGTTTGCCTTTTCTCTGCTATTTTCTTATTATAATATATTCGCTGAAATGAAGCTCCACTTCTTTCTTCTGGACAGGTTTTTAGAAACGTAGATGAATTAATGCTAACATTGATTATGATGTGAGCAGGATGTATAGATAAAATATCTTAAAATATGAAACTGGTTTGATGAAAGATCCCAAGTGGTTTAAAGAGTCAAAACTTTATTAACGATAGATAGATAATCTGAACATATCCAAAGCTAAGAAAACAGCACAAAAAACATCTTTGATATAGTGCAAACTCCAGCGCAAAGGAAGATACCTCATTATCGATTGGCTTTGGCAATTTTCTCAATCTCATCTTTTTTCTTCATGGCATAGCTATAAAGAGAAGACATTAATGCTTTTATCAGGTACACAAACTCACACAAATGTGAAGCCAATAAGTGAGAAAACAATGTAGAGAGAAAGTGTTGGGTTTTAACCTGTTGGAAGATCCCTTGAGAGCATTGATGAGTTCATCAGCAAGGCACTCAGAAATAGTCTTGATGTTTCTGAAAGCAGCTTCACGTGCCCCAGTGGTGAGCACGAAGATGGCCTGGTTCACACGTCTTAGAGGAGAGATATCAACGGCCTGCCTCCTCACCACGCCAGCAGATCCAATGCTGGTAGCATCTTCACGTGGACCACTGGCTCACCCAAGAAAACAAAATATCATTCGCAAAAGCTTCACAATAGCTAGCAAGAAACTACAGTTTTTTCAGTATTACAGTTTTAATTTTACCTGTTAACGATATCGTCAATGATGACCTGAATTGGGTTCAAGTCAGTCAACAGATGAATTGTAACAGCCCGGCTCACCGGCCCACCGCCGGCCCGGCGCTGTTAGGGCTGCAGCCCAATACACCCCAACCCCTCTGGTGTATAAGGCCACTGCCACTATATCAACCTAGGTTGTTGGTGAGACTCGAACCTGAGACCTCACCCTTTATGTAGCCTTCCCTACTAGAAGCTATCACCAATTGATTGTAACATCCCGGTTTGTGATAAATGAGGAGAGGCTTAAGAGAATTGATTTGGCTACTTATGTCAACAAAGTGCACTTACCTTTTCGGTCAAAGGTCTATAAGTAACTCCAGTTAAGCGTGCTTGTGCTGGAGTAGTTGAAGGATGGGTGACCTTTCGGGAAGTGGTTTCCGAAACCGTGTGAGTGAGGCCAAAACACGTGGAAAGGTCAGGTGTTGATTGCAAGGATAGTAAACAAATCATTAGAGCCTCTCGAAAATAACGGACCGGCCGACGGACAGGGGTGATGCCCACGGGCCGAGATGGGCCTGCGGGCCTAGAGAGAGGTCGTGGGTGACTCACCGGAAGGGGCGGTTGGGGCGTTATATGGATGATCTCCATGGCGTGTTTGATGATCCCAACAGCCATCAACATCTTACAGTTGTTCCTTCCGTTCATCATGAGAGAGTTCGTGAGCCTCTCAGTTGGGCATTGAGCCTTCCTAAACAACTTCACTGAGTATCTTCCAGCTGTGCGGGGAACAAATGTTGCGTGTTTCGCTGGCTGAAGACGACAAGACTAATGTCGGTGACGTACACGCACCATAAGAAGATCGAAAACGAAAATTAACCAAATCCAGTTATCTCATTAAATATAAAAAAGCTTGGTAATTTTTATGAACTTTAATAATCGTATCATGTCATGCAAGAATCTCCGGTGTAACTCCAGCGACCAGCAACGTCTTTGCTTCCTAAGCATTTGCGATTGTTTCTGCTGCTTTGACTCTCATTGGTTTCCCCCGGTTTCCTCCGTAGAGCTCGACATCGTTGGCGTTGGAGTGATTGCCTCTAGCGGTTGAGAATCAAACTTGGCCGCAACCACGGCCTTATTCTTTTGAAACGGCTGAAACACACGCCGCCATATCGTTTGACATCCACCGCCATCGTCGTCTGATTTTATTGATTCTACAACATAAACAAATAAGATTTTTTTTAAATTTAAGGCTCCTCAGATTTGCATTTTTCCGATTCGAATATTCTCGGTTAAATTAGTTTACCTCTTTGTCCTGCCGATACGGCTACTGATTCCATAACTTAACAGATCTAAGCCAATCTGATTTCTTCTTATCACCGTTACTTTCATTCGCGCTGCACAAATGGTCTCTGCTACACAACAACAAAATTTCAGAAGGTAATAAATTTCAAAAGAAAGCTATATGTGTCTACAATCCAAACTTCTTTAGGATTTGCACTTTTTCAGTTAAGTGAAGAAACATAAAAGCAGAGAATATATGACGAAGGTTATCACCATCAAGAATACATGATAGATTTCCTTGGGTGTACAAATCTCTACTTAGCGAGCAAGCCAGCGTGCTTTTCCCTGCACAGGGAGACTTGTAACATCATGAGAACTTTATAGACATTCATGGAGGAAGGTTTAAGACTGTTTAGAAGATTGACCTGAGCCACTGTGCCCTATGATCCACACAACACAACCCTTCTGGTTAATCAACTTCTGCCTTTCAGTTTTTTCCAATAGGTGATTCTTGCCAGAATATGTTTGTCGAATTTTCAACTGTCGACATTCTCAAAATACTTCCTTCTGATATTATCTTTAACCAAAACTCAGAGTAAATGAATCACCAGAAACTGTATCCAATCTGCAAAGACACATTCAGAGAAAATATTAACATGACCAGTCTTCTTTAAATTTTCCAAAGATATAAAAGAATGTTTCACAACAGGAGACGCTGACTTCACAGTAAAGCAAAAGAATTATTCATACAATCCAATGTAACAAAACAATAACCTTGTGACAATGAGACTATGTTCCTCCTTTAACATAAACTAAAGGCCAAATCATCTGATTTTATTATATGATCTCACTAATCATCATGTGGCTAGCAAATTTATGTCCTTCCACAAAGCAATACGTTTCATTCCAGAATCAGTTCCACTAATCTCCAGAAGAAACATTACCAGAAACCCCACCAAGAAAATCACAGAGTAAAAACAGTAGATCATTTCAATTGGAATTAAGAAAATGTATAGTTGTATACCACAAAGATATAACCACCAAAACAATGACGCCAGGGATTAGAATCGCCAACGAAAATCAACCTGTCGAAAGAGTTTCGTCGGCAATGTTGCCGATTACTAACGAAGCAAGGATCTAAAGCATTTCCTACGACTCAATTTATTCGATTGACATTGATGATCTGAATGACATTGGGAAAAAGGCGTTGGAATTAAAACGTAGAAGAGAATATGAAGAAAATGTAGGAGATTAATTGTTCGCCTAATCGGTCAAATAACTCCAATTTTTGTGTTATAATTTTTTTTTGGCGAAATAATAATTGAGAGGAGCAGTGGCCCTTGAATAATGGTCTCAGACATGGCGATCCCTCTGCCTCACGGTGGTTCTCAGACAAGGGATCAGTTTATTTTCATAGTGAGATCGCTTGAACAGTCTTTTCTTCCTCTCGCCTGAACATCGAGATCACGGTGGTTCTCAGATGAACAAAATAAATCACGATCTGATCTTCCCGATCCACGAGGATACGCTTTGTGACGGCGGAGATTGAAATTCCATTTCGGTTGGCGTCGGGAAGTATTTTTCGAAAGGGATCTCGCCGCGGCAGAGAAAGGTGGTGAGGCGGAGAAGTGGCGGAGAAGTACACGACTCGCTGGCGGAGGTTGAAAGAGTAACCTAGGGTCGAGAAACGGGAAATAAGCCAGAGCTTGAAAGTAAGGTTGCAGATCCGGTGGATCTGGAGGTTTCAGCGGAGGCTTCGGCCTGGCCGGAGGGGTACTCACCCGGAGGTGAGAAAGCTTCGTCGTCTGTACCATTGACGCCGGAACGGTGAAGGAAGGAGACGAATGCTCTGTCCTCACGAGCTCCACAGATCTCCTTGCGAAAACCATTGGCGGCGAAACAGAGCAGCCGAGAAGCAACGAACGAGAAGAATGACACGATCTTGCCGGCAATGGAGAGTAGTGTCAAAGAGCACGAAAATAGAAGAAGAGTCATCGGGCACCAAAGCGGAGTCCGGGAAAGAGAGAGCGGAGCTCCGATTTCAGGCGGGTAAAACTCCGGTAAGGAAGCTTCATCGCGAAATCGGAGCTGAGCGGAGGCCGGCGGCTGTCTTGGGAGTAGTGTCAAAGAGCGTTTTAAATTAGGGCGAACTCGTTTAGATCAGTAACGTACTAGATATCTTAGTTACATTTATTAAAAAACATGAACTTCAGTTCTCCCCCAGATCCTCTTTCACCGCCATGGAAGGTACATAAGTGAGAAAACGAGATCAACATACGTACATACATGGATTCAAACAAAGTAAAGTTATAGTATTCAAACAAAGTAAAGTTGAGATTGTGAGTATTTTGTCTGAAAAATATGTGTTATGTTTTGATTTGAATAAAAAAATATGATTTGTTAAAAAAGTGGTTAAAGTAAAATATAATTTGTAAAAAGAAATCGAAGAGAAAATGAGAATTTGTACAACCTCAAATCATTTTTGGTATTTATATAGGTGAATACACCTTCATTATAGAGATTTTATATAAACAATATTTTTGCTTGATATATGTTCTTAGTTGAATCTACTAGGTATACTAACTTACAAAATGCGGATCAAATAAAACATTCTTCCAACAGAACACACATGTATGTTGACACTGTATATATTTGGACTACAAATATATGTGTTATGCTTTTCTAAATATGCGGAACTGCTTCTTAGAAACATGGGCACAACAGACACCAGTAAGAGAATTGTAATGATCGAAGGAGGTATCTTCGGCGCAGAACAAGAAGATCGTGAAGTTCATATTCTAGTTGGTCTGTTAGTTATTGTCGTAACTCTTTAAGGGCAAGTTAAATACAGAGAATCGTCGTGGCCAAGCCCTTGCGTTGACTTTTCGTTGTTCTTTGGGTATGCACTTTCGAAAAGTTTTTTTTTTATTGACTTTTTAACAGAAATAATTGAGTAACGTGTCATTAGCAAGTAGTTCATATTTTGGTCCTAAATTCCTAATCAGCCTAAGTACAGATAGATGCAGCTCGTGAAAAATAATAATTGCATTTGACTTTATTTTGCTTGTGCTTAATTTACTAGTACTAGATATATATTCACTAAATTGCCACTCTAAATTGTTAAAACTGAGTTGAATCTACTGAATCTTCTTTTTTGATGTTGGTATTCATGAATATATAAACACGTATAACATACCAAAACATAAGGTAATATCTAAAAACCGTCAAGAAATATCTTCCTTTTTGGGTCTTCCCTCTCCACTATTCTGATTGATTTACTTGAGATGAAGCAATGGAGTTATGCCAAGTTAATAAACGTCGCTTTACTGTGTCTCGTCTTAATGATTCTTCATTTGGCATTTCAAAGTTCGACCTCTTGTTTCTTCTCTCTTTTTTGTTTTCATATAATATTTTTGACAGTGATTGATCCATTTGTCATATTTGTAAAAAGTTAGTTGGAGCAAGAGGTAAAGATCATCACCATGGTCATGTGGCCATCGGTAACAATGATATCTCGATGCGATCAAAGGTATATACAATTTATACATATGAATTGGACATCTTTATATTTAATTGGAAGTAACTTTACAACTTCACCAATCACATAATTGTCCTCTTCTTAATGTTGTATAGTATACATACAAATGTTTTCGTATGTGAGTGATATCATGATTTGTAAAATCACTTGAATATGCAAGAAGAAAAGGCTATAAGTTGTAGCCTTCTCTCGAATGATGTACATGTGGTTTTTATGCCATCTTGAAGGATGACTTTAACTCGTAAAAGATATGAAATCATCTAACGAAGTCATAATATTAATTAAATGTAGCCGTTATATATTTCTCTTTAAATAAAGATATGATTCTAATTCAATAACATTTTTTCTTATTTCTAAGCATTCACACCCACAAGGTCACAGGGATTGAATCGGATTACCCGCCCTTGTGTCTCAAAAGGAATATATCAAATTCGACGTAAAGATAATAACATATACTGTACTTTTTAGCAAATCCATGGATAAAAAAGATTTTTGGAAGTATAAATGGAGATGCTTTATTTAGAAACCCTAAGCAGTGGCCAAAGATTTACTAATAACTTAAAACTCCAATGTTACTTTAGGCCTTTAGGGCACTTAAACTCATGAAAACTTCCCCATGCCTCCTTGATTTCTTCAAGAAAAATCTGTCTTTTAATTTATACCCCATGTCGGTACCGACTTTCTTGATTTACTAGTTCAAGTTCTTAAAATGTTTTTTTTGAATTTCCCGTATAAAAAGTACAATATTCTCTAGATATAATTCCAGTCATTAATAACAAATGTTTGATATACCACTCGTATTGTATATTCCATCGGCAATGGAATAATATCATCCAAAATATGACTATGAAAATTTGCAATAACTAAATGACGAAAATTGTTAAAAGTT